AGGATGCTAATGCAGTTGCTTAATATTTGTTCTTAAAAATGTAAAGACTAAATGTAACCGCTGTGTATTACTCTTTCTAATCCAAGATACAGATTCAAATATTTCATAATCCTGCTAAGAGGGTAACAGTATTCTCTGTTCCTACACACTGAGTTGTTTGACTTCCAGCACCTATAAAGCTCAAATGAGAGTCTGAAAGGTTAAAACAAGTAGTTGAGTTCAGAATACTCAACTGCTTTCACTGCTTTTGCAGGGCCATCTGTAGACGAATGAGGTACAGGGCACTCATGCATACAAAAGGTTTGAGAAATACCGATACAAACAAACTATGACTTTCAGCTCGTGTCATTGCAGTGGTATCTGTGCCTTGTCCATTTACAAGGAGAGGCTACCATACGTTTTATACATTAACTTTCAGAATCTGGATACTGGAATGATAGAAGTGAACAACCTCTTGCCTTGAGGGAAAGGATTAGAAACTATGTGTGTGATATGTTGAAAACTGAGCTGATGATGATCCAGCTGTACTGATTTTATATTACATATCCACCAAGAATGGTCTTGTACTGTGAAGTGCTGTGTTTGTACTGTAGCGTTAGTAAGTTCTGAGACGCTGAGCAGATTTCTTGCAAGGCAGATGGAAACCAGTTAGCATTGTCACTTGTTGGATACCAGATGTTTGCAATATGTTTGCAATAAATCAAATGACAGCTATTTTACAAGGACTTCCAATTTCGATAATTTAACCGTTCACAACTTATGCCCTCACTAAAGTTTACGGTGAAATTTAGAGTGAGGCATACTGTTTCTCAGTGATAAGCTTGAAGCAGAATGAACTTCACCTTTCGTGCTTACGTACTGGATGGGGAGCACTCAGGCTTGGAATGGCAGCACAGGCTTGGCTGGTGGCCAGCTTGCTGACAGAGAGGTACGCTGGGAGAATGTCGCCTCTCGTACATCACGGCAGCCTACTTGAAATGTTTAACAAGTTTCGTAATGGAGGTGGGAACGTAATTTGGCAAAACAATAGTGTTTGGAAAGCATTGTTTCAGTTGGGAAAACAGCTGTCCTACTTGCTAAATGAGCAGACGGTGATGAAGTATTTGCCTTGAAGGATAAGATAAATGTCAGTCTTAAAATTGCTGTGAGCAACTTTTCCTGAAGATGTTTACTGTTATGTGCCTCAAACTTAGTTTTTTTGTTTGTTTGTTTTGTTTTTATTGCTATCCTAATGCTCTATTTTTCCTTTTAATTTCAGTATCTTGCACCAGAAGTTATTAAAAAGCAGCCCTATGACAACACAGTAGACTGGTGGTGCCTCGGTGCAGTTCTTTATGAAATGCTGTACGGGCTGGTACGTACTTAATGCGTGTGGGGCAGGGATTGCTTCCCTTTTTCTCCCTCTGTATCTCACCTGAAGTACACCAGAGTGTCAAAGATGCTGCCTTCTGCAGAGTGTTGAAGTACTCCACTTCAGTGGATGAACAGTTTGCCTTAACATCACATCTGTTTTTCTCTTTTGGATTTTGCATTGCCTCTGGATGCTTAAGCTTTTGCTTTCCAGTGAAGTCCTAGACATCAATTCTGAAGACAGGTAGCCATGACTGAGGGAACATCGGAGTAAACTGCATCGATAGTGATAATACCCAATAAATTAAAATATGTATTTTAACTTAGGTCTTCCAGGAGTTCTTCTAGCTCTTTTGCTGTTTAATGCAATATTAAAAGAAAAAAATCTTTCTTACTGTGCTTCTAGACATATGTGATCACTCTAATAGCGACGTGTTCTGTTAGGTTTCTTTAGAGTTATCTGCATCTGGACCTTAAGTAGGGAAACAGATCTGGTTTTCCACTTGTTCTTTTTAGGCAGGCTCAGTGGGAGCTTTGAATCTGGAGGGCATCTGTAGCTACTTGTGAGGGTGAGGACATGTTATGAAAAGAGGAGGTGGCAGGGGGAAGCTGGCAAGTGTAGGGACTTGGCACTGGGGATGACTGAAATACAGCTAGCTAGTAAAAAGCTAGCTTTAAAAAAATAAATTTAAATTATTTTTTAATTAAAAAAAATAAAGCTAGTAAGAAGAGGTAGATTTCTTCCTTCATTGCTACCAGTTCCTATTTCTTATAGCAGTGTTTATTGATGCATACACATAAAACAAAATGCTGAATGTGGCTTCGAAATCATATCTAATACTTGTTTTCTAGCCTCCTTTTTACTGCCGTGATGTTGCTGAGATGTATGAGAACATTCTTCATAAGCCCCTGGTTCTGCGTCCAGGAATCAGTCTCACAGCCTGGTCTATTCTGGAAGAACTTTTGGAGAAAGATCGGCAAAGCAGACTCGGAGCAAGGGAAGACTTTGTATGTAATGTCCTAATTTATCAAGCCCTTCTGCATTTAAAGGGGCATGAACAAATTTGTGTGCACCACACAGGTTTAATAGTGGCAGAGCAGAAAATGCTCTGTTATGAGTCTCTCTCTCTTCTCCTTTTTATTTCTTCTTCTAAGACACCAGTTGTGTTCATTTAATGTTCGGTCGTGTGTTGACCTTGTAATAGAGCATTTGGGTTATGACAGTACTTTTTCGTGGTGGCAATATGATGAAAGGGTGGTAGTGTTTAGCACAGCTGTTTACTGCTTCATAACTATTAAGCATATTGGAGAGTTGTTTAAGCTGCTGCTTCTCAGACAGTGATCTTTATAAAAACTAACATCTTGCAAGGAGGAACAGAAATAGTAACAGGAAACATTCCTGCTCTGTGGTTTGTTTTTAAGGTGGTTGATTTTAAGGCTTAAATGCAGAAACCAGTTCTTAGAGGCAGGCTAACAAATTTGAATTGCTCTTTTTGCCAGCTACAGCTTTAATTGCAAAATAAACTGAATGAAGGACTTGACTTCCTTAGGTTTTGTTTGTGCATGCAATCTGAAGTAGTATTTACTATGATGCACAGGTTGGATTTCTGAAATGCTTGTTATCTCTGTTCCCTACTGCAGCTTGAAATTCAAAAGCACCCATTCTTTGAATCTCTCAGCTGGACTGACCTTCTTCAGAAGAAGATTCCGCCGCCGTTTAATCCTAATGTGGTAGGTGCTGTTTCAGTTCATAGCTGCCAAAATTCTGCCTTTAAAATATTATTTTTTTAAGTTTTTGCAGCTCCCTAACACTCACTTAAGAAAGAGGTATTCCTTAGTATTTCTCAGGTTTATCACATCATAAATGTGTATCACTTCTGGCCTGAATGCCAGCAGCCTAAAAGAAACAAGCAAGCTTTTAATAACTGTCAGGGATGCTGTAGTGTGCTGCTTTAAGCTTTCTGTGTTTACATACGAAAGAATTACACAGAGTAGATGATCTCAGGAGTTAAATTTGAAATCTACAGGAGATGCATAGCTTTTAAAAACACAGTATTAATGTGACAACTGATTGATCTTCCTGTTTTCTAGGTTGGCCCAGATGATATTGGGAATTTTGATGCCGTGTTTACAGAAGAGATGGTCCCGTACTCAGTTTGCATTTCTTCTGATTACAACATTGTTAATGCCAGTGTCCTAGAGGCAGATGATGCATTTGTTGGATTTTCTTACGCACCACCTTCTGAAGATATGTTTTCCTAGGAAGTTAGAAGCCAACGGTGTTTTGGAAGTCTTGGGATGAACTGAAATCTTAGAGTTATGAACACATTCCAAAATAGTGTAACCTGTGCCTCGTTTTGTATGTAGGTTTAAAACCTATGAACAAACTTTCTCTGCTGTATAGGAGGAATTTGGGCATTTTGGATGGCTTTCTTTGGGGTCTGAACTGTTTATTCCTGCTGCAGAAAATATTTTTAAAAACTTTAAATAATGTTCTCTACATTTACGTATTTTTTTAGGCAAAAACACTGACTGTTCTCCTCAGTCCCTTCAAGTTTACATTCATATGTATCTAAGATTAGGCTGGCACAAAAAGCAGCAAATTTAGTAAATTTATAAATGCCTTTGTACTTATTTACAGTGACTTTGTGCTTGAATTGTAACTATGCAAATTGTCTTTTGTATATCCTGGTTTAAAAAAGGTGAATGTTTTCCCTGTTTTATCAGTTTGAAATTTGTTAACTTAACCTGTCAGCACTTAAATGAAGGTTTAATTTAAGTTAACACTGAGATGCTTCGAGGATTTCTGTAGAATGAAGAGCTGGGCATGTAAAACTGGATTGTCGTTTTTGCATTTGCTAGAGTACCTAATTCACTCAACTGGATTATGAGGCATGGGGGATTACTCAAAGCAAGGATAGAACAAATTAACTGTATTGAATTGATAACATTACTGATCACGTGTTCTACCTTTTTTCCTCCCTGAGGTAAATGTCTGGATTTCAACTGCATTAAAAATATTTTTTGTTAAAACTCTGCTTTTCCAAAGATATAATTAGCAATAATCACCACTACTTTGAAAGGCTATCTTGCTTTAACCTTCCAGGGATGGGTGGTGAGGGGATCATGCCAAATATTTAAGCATTTTTCTCACTGGTATATAGCTTGAAACACTAATTATGTTCCAAATCAATTGTACTTAAACATGCATAGCTACTTGTCCTTCTGTCTCCCATTTTGCACCATTTTTAAATCTTCACTTGATATTTGGAAGAAGTAATGTAAATTACGTCGGTAATTTTTAGAATGTGAAAAGTTACTGTATTTCTCGTAACATACACGTGTATGGACAAACTGATCGTTCTGATCAACTTCTGTTTAAGGAAAACTTTTAACAATGCAAAAATTGACCGCAGTTACAGCGTGTAAAAGCCTATTATGGTAGTATTATATATTACCTGTAAATAACAACTTATTTTTGTCTGTTACTTCAAAAAACGCTCTGTGTTTTTTTGTTCATAAATGCATTCAGTTAAATGCCTTGGTTTGAGAGAAGTCTGGTAAGACACAGAGGAGCAGCCAGAGTTAAGTGTTAGATAAATTTCAGTATCTAAATGGTTTCCTTTCTGATGAAGTAAGAACTAGCTAAGAGAACTACTACTTGTATTGCATCAAGATCAGTTAAAAATTGAGAATATCACGAACAATCGTCTGTCAAATCATAATTCTTCTGAAATTAATGTTATCAACAGCAAAAAAAAAAGTGGAAGCTAAAACAGGATTCTTTGCTTATTCCACTTCTCTTGCATAACGCTTGAGTAATGCTGAATAGTTGGTGTGTGAGGTGTGGGAAGAAGTCTCTGGGTAAAATATGAACGAATTAACATTGGAAGGGAAGGAAGGAAGGGGGACTATCATTTGTGGGAGTGGAGCAGTGCTCATTTCCCATAGTGCCACTGTAAAGTTTTGAGAAGTTTGGAAATAATCTATGCAGCTGTTCAGGATAGCAGTAACTAAATGAATCACATTCTTGCAGTTGTAATTGTTTGGCAGCAAGCCTTTTTTCTTTTTTTTTTTTTTTTTCTTCTCTCCAATAGGCCTTTCTAATGGAGTAGAAGAGATAAATTGATTTGAAGAAAGGAAATACCCATTCTCATACTAAGCTTTTACTCTTCATACCCCTGAAATGATTCTGCAAGCTGCTGGAACAGCATTCTGCTTACCACAGGGAAATGTACTGCAACTTTTTTTTTTTTTTTTTTGCCTCTCACAACAAAGAAGTGCAGTACTGTAGAGAGATGACAAGGAAGGAGAATACTTCAGTGTGGTACATGCTGCACCCCTTCACTTGTCCTCTATTTCCACGATGCCTAGAGCTAGTCACCTGCTTGGGTTAAAAGATGTGGAGCTTCTTTATTTTGCCTTTCTTGTCAAATGTATTGTTCCCCCCTTTTTTAAGATGACAATGGTAGTTATTGCTTGCTTAATTTGTTGCTTATTTGTTTTGTTTTTTTTTTTTTTTTTCTTTCGGCAAGCTGTGCCTTTTTGGCTAAGTGTGAATGTGTCAACATTTCACTTCAAATACTTAGGTTCATTTTGTTCCTTAGGTTCATTTTGTTCCTTCTGCTGTATTTCATATTGTGAAATGCCCCCGTTAGATCAGGACTCGCACAGGTAGAGTAACCAACAGTGTGCAAAACCAAGCAATAAAACCTTGCGCTACTTCCATAGGTCTTGTTGTATACCTCTCTGCATTTCATGGTAATGCTTTGCAGAGATGACTGGATTTAAGGTGTGGTAGCCCCTTCACAGAAGGCAGAGTTGAAAAGGCAAGGTTGGATGTGGTGCTTAGGGACATGATTTAGCAATATATTGGTAGTAGGGGGGTGGTTGCACCAGATGATCTCGAAGGTCTCTTCCAACCTTAATGATTCTATGAAATCTGAAATGATAGTAAAATCTGGATAGTAGAGCTGCAGGGAGCCTACAGAGGCATGACCTATGCCATTCCCTTCCTCAGGTGGCAACCAGTTGATAAAGGGAGGCAGGAGCAGTGGTGGTGCACGGTGGTTGGAAAAACATTAACTGAAATAAGACACAAAGTTTTGTGGTGCAGTCTGGAGGGGTAAGTTTGCTTACGCTAAACACAGTAGACTCTGTAGTGTTTATTAATGATTGTTTTTAAAGCCATCCTGGGCTTTACTATTTATTTACTGTAGGGTCGGTGCGCGGTGCCTGCCAGAGCCGCGGCCGCCCTGAGGGGGCTCGGGCTCGGCGTTTCCCCCCTCAGCGGCCGCGGGAACTTTTCCCGCCCAGCGCCAACGGCTGCCGGGCTGAGGCGGGAGGGGGGCGCAGGCGGCCCCCTCCTGCCGCCGGGCTCCCCTCAGCTCCCCGCTGCTCCCGGGGGACAACTTGGGGCAGGGAGGGAGAGAAGGAATTGTCCTGAGGTGGTTTGGGACTCTGTTAGGTTTGAATCCCTTCGTGTGGGAGATTTTGAGGTATGGAGCAGCAATTGTGTGGGAGTAATCCCAAAGAAACTGAAAAAGAATCCCTAACATAAATTCTTCTTCAATTTGTGCTTAAAATTTGATACCTCAGGCCACTGCAACACATCTAGCCAGCCCACAAGGTGCGTTTCTCAGAGAAGTTTTACACAACAACCATAAGGGTGCACCGCAGGTACCCAGTTATTTCACTGACAAATATTGATCTGTCTGTACACCAACACCCAGTTCTGTGGCTTCCTGCAGGTTATCGTTTGTAAACAAAGAGCTTTGCTTTCTCTTCAGCCTATAAATTCTGTGATTTTGTCCTGTGCCAAGTAGTTAAATCTATTTTTGAAGATTTAAGTGTGGCTTCACATTGGCCATTTACAGAGAAGACAGATGATGCTTTTTGAAAGAAAATCTGTAAGGCAGTAAAATAGATGTGATAGAATACCACATTTTGGCCTTAGTTCTCCTTCTACAGTAAATTTGTAAGTGAAGTGCTTCATGTGGTGAGATTCTACTCTTAAAAATGCAGATATGGGAGTAATGCGCAATGAGAACAACACTGGTCATGGTCACCTTCCAGACCAAAACTCTAGTCCTGGAGGTTTTTTTCCATCAGAAATAAGAACTGATCTGTGTACACTGACAAACACAAGTGTGTGCAAGAGCTGTGCCTTAAATGAATGCTACAGGAGGTGACAGCAAACTGAGGAAGTCTGATTTAAGAAAAGATGTTGACTGGTTTCATACTTCCAACAACTATGACAGACAGCTTTCTCAGATAAAGCAGTTATTTAAGTCTTACTTTTGCTAGGATGATTATGCCTATAAATTACATAGGCAGGGTTAAATGCAGCCTTTAATTTGATGGGTTACGGGTCAGACAGCTAAATAATTCATTAATAAGAGAAGAAAAATACTAAAGCATTCTGTAAAAATTGACTTTGTGGGTGTAATATGCTTCAGCCATTGGAAAGAGCTTCCCATTTAATGGTAGTATTAAAAATTTTAAAGAAAAGCATTGAAAAAAATACTCTAATTTTGTATGGCTTTGTTAACATATATCTTTATTATTATTTCAGCATGGCAAATTCTGACCTAATTTCTTTACAGCTTGTTCTCACATTTTGATTAAGAGTACAAAGATATTTTTGGAAAATGGAGGAAGAAATACAGAAAATGAAGGAAATTGGCCTTATTTACCTTGACAGAAGTGGTGGCCTTCAGAAATTCATGCACGATTGCAAAAAATATAACGGTATTGCTCACTCAGTAGATAATCTGTTAGCATTGATATTTATTGTTAAATAAACCTATTATTTTTAAAACACTTTTTGCTCCTGCAGACTCAAAACAAAGTTACGCTGTTTATCGTTTTGTTATTTCAATAAATCCTTCTGATATTGCTGAATTGGATGCAACTCTTGGAAACTACATTCTTCATAATCCCATAAAAGCTGCAGAGATTTTTCAGTCAGTAAGTGTATATTTGTGGTCAGAGATGACAAAAAATACATCTCTTTATATTTTAACTAGATTTTCCTTTCTAAAATAAAGGTATTTTTGAATTACAGGTATGTTTTGTAGCTATTAAGACGTTATCATTAATAGAACAATTGCAGACAGAGGCTCAGGTGAGTCTGCATTATTTTCCCCCAATTAGATCTGAAATCTTTTAAGTGTAGTGAAGTATTTAAAAAATACTGAAATATTTTTTTTTTCTAATAGCTATTTATATATGATGCATTTGTTCATGTAAGTGGTGTTTATAAACAGCAGTTTGAAATTAAAATTATAGTATTAATGCAATTTTGTCTCTTGTTAGATTAGTATACTGCTGAAGCCAACACATTTACCGCCTTTACCAAGTTATGTTCTCAGTCTCTCTGCATTTCCATTTAACTACACATCTCATAGATTTTATATGTCTGAAGGAATAGTCATTGCAATGGGAATTGTAACAAAATATACACAAGGAGCAAGATTTCTTTGTACTGAGGAAACCTGTCCGTTCTCTGAAGGTAGTAAAAAAAATTGAAATCAATACTATTTCAAAATCTTTTTAATAATTTATATAGTTTATCAGATTAAAAATACAGCACGAGAGTCATTTTCCTATGCAGTCTTATGATGTAGACTTTTTGTAATGAGCACAGCATGATTTTTATTAATTGACAGCAGCAATGGACCTTGCCAGCAGCTGCTCAGCATTATTAAATGTTTTGTGAGTACAGCTATGCCAATAAGCCATTTTCTGATCCTGAAGATAGTTTATATGAGAAAAGGTACGTTTCCAGTATAACTCAATGAATTCCCTGAAAGGAAAAAAAAAAAAAAAAGTCTGTACCAGTAGAATACTTTTTTTTTTTTTTTCTGTATTCCTTCTGTGTATGTGCTTTTTTTAAATTATTATTATTTTTATTTATATAAAAAGACCATGTAACAGCATGCGTAAGTGACTGGCAGAAGCTTCTAGCAGATTTGCTGTAATGAAAGCTAATTTCTGTGGAACTACTTTATCTAATATTACTGATACATCTTTGCGGGATTAGGTCTTAAGTACTTTCAGGGCTGTGCTGTTTGCTTCTTCCTGTAACAGAGACCATAAAATTATAAAATAGAAGCTAAATCCCAAAGCTGGGCGACTGTAGAATAAATCATAATGATGTCTTTATGAGGGCACGTACTTGTAGTGAGGGATATACATATCCAATGTCATTTCCACACGATGCAGAAGCAGTCAGTCACTCCCTGCTGCCTGAAGTCAGGTCAGGCCGTTTTAGTTAGGAACGTGCAATAGGAAATCCTGCCATCTCGTGGTCAACCTACAGTAAGTGATACAGATCATTTTAGTTGAAGTGTAGTGTATGGAGTTATGCTTACCTGAAGAAACACAGGATGCTTGTAAATTTGGAATTTCATTCTCCAGTACTTTAACTATTTCTATACTTGATGTGAAATTTAAAATGAAAGCCATATCCTCCTTATAACATTTGGTAAATGTTTCAGGGTTTAGGTACATAAGAGTGCATCTGCCTGGAGCTACAGAATCTGCCACAGTGAGGAATGATTTTGTGTGCAGTTTATGTTCTTCACCCCTGCAAGAAGATATGAAGTTTAGAGTACTTGGTGGTAGGAAATATGTAGTTTTATTTTTAGATCTATTATTTCCCTGCTGCTGTTACACAGTAAGTAAACAAAATGGCTAAGGGGGGAAAAAAAGCTAGTCATCTACTAGTCATCTAAGAATAAAAAAAGCTTGGTACTGTTTTAAAGAGAACTAACCTCTTCCTTGCCTTTGTTTTGAAAGATAAACAAATAGTTGAAATGATTGATGCAAAAGTTCTTAATGCTTTAAAAGGATATTCCAACAATAAATCGCATTTTAGGATTCAGGCTTTCACAGTTTTCTTGAGAGGTAAGTGAATTTTAATTTTGAGGTTTGTCAGAAATGTTTTAGAACTGAATGTAGTAATTACTCGCATTTTTCTTACAGATCCATTTCTGTGGATAAAATGGTGGAAATTGTGATAATTCACACTGAGGTTCTTTCTCTAATAAACAGGGAGGGAGGGGGTAGCTAGGTGACTAAACAGCATGCACAGATGATTAAGAAATACATGTAGCAAAACCGTTGTGTTCACTTTTATAACTACATTTAATTACAGTCCCCAGGCTGGTATCACGTTCTATCTGAAGCTTGTTTTTTCCTCCTTTCTACTTCCTTTGGTCATGCTGTTTTGCACTAATTTCATGTGTTTTTAACATCCTTCCTCAAAGTAGCTGTTTTCCGGATTCTGTCAGGACATTTGGCCTCTACTACCACTGCCTTCCACTGCAAACATTAAATGATTTATGATGTGACTATCCAACTAATATCACTCCCAACTGTCATGCTTCCATTAATGTTCTTTAAACTAAAACAGCCACCATTATCCTTGATATGATATCCGAAGTCTATAGAACCAGATAATTCATTCCTTGAAAACTCACAGTAGCTCTGAGACCATAAGATATGCTTCAAACTGCAACTATTTATTTATTATTATGAAACAATCTATAGGAGGCAAACTGTGATCTACACGTGCATTAAAATTCCACAGATTTCACTCATCAGTGAGGTCAGACGGAATCTCACAGACTGATTCGTGTTTGGTTGGGCGTAACTCTCGCTTCCAAAAATAAATGTGACTTTTGAAAAAAAAAAAATAAAAAATACACAAAAGTACAATGGTTCTCAAAGCTATGGCTGTGCAGTCTTTTTGAAAGCTGTATGCTATGGATTTCTTTTTTTGTGTGCTTTTGTTTTTTTATGACAACTTATAGGACAGTAACTGATAATAGGGTCATCACAAGTTTGAGAGTAGGAATGTATACTTGCAAACAACTGTCCATTTTCCTTTCAATTTATTTCCAGAAATAAATAAATCATCCATTTTCTTCATCAGGAACCTACTTTTCCTCACCCAGCCTGCCTTCGTTACCTTTTGCACTAATTAATTAGAATTGCGTGCTTCATTTGCTCCTAGTCCATTATGGTAAACCTGGAATCCAACGGTTTTCTGCAATTAAGTGATAAAAATGAAACCGGTCAGAATGTGAATAAAAGCTTTCTGACTGTGTCTTTAATATATATATATTTTTTTTTCCTAAAACATCTTCAGGTTCCCCATATTTTATTTTTGATTTCCAGATGAACTGGCCAATCGAATGACAATAGGAAACCACTACAAGATTATAGGCATCCCAACCTGCGTACAAAATGGCCCACAAGCTACAGCATGTATAGAAGTCAGTAGCGTACAGCTCTGTAAACCAAACGGTAAGAAAGTCCCATTAAAAACTGGACTATAAAAGTAGAAAAACATTTTAGAACAAAACCCTGAGAACTGGTACAGTTCTCTATTGCCTAAGGGTCCTGATTACAAAACCATTGCGGGACCTTCCTCTTACAGTCTTAAATGTTCTCAGTCAGCTGAGATCTTCTGCCCCTTTCTCTTTCCATGCATGGGGAAATGACAGAATTATTTACTGCAGTTCAACTGCTCTTTTCCATCGCCATCTACTGGAAATCGTGCAGGAAACGGACCCAATACTTTATTTTGTTACTGCATGCTTATTCCATTGATTTTAGTAGATTGTCTGCTACCTTTGCAGCAGGAAAATTAATCCTATCAACTCTTTACATTCTGAATTTGTGCTTAATGTATAAAGATCTTAGTTCTTTGTAAGCTTCTGTACAAGGATTGGAATGGTGTCACGTTCTATTACATCTGCACAGCTCTATGAAGTGTTTGGTAATCTCTCCTTTGTTTCAATTAGGTCCTTCTTTTATCGGTGAAAATTTTAAGTATCTGCTCTCACTGACTTCAAATTCGTGCTGGAGGTTTACGGCCATGCTGGCCAATATCTTTGCTTCGCAAGTTGTTCCACCAGGCACTTACAACACTCTGAAACTCGCGGTATTGCTGAGTCTAGTACAGACGTGTGAAAAGGAGAGTGCTGATTACCTGGATCTGTTGGTTGTGACAAGCGACACCTTAGTGATTGATAGGTAAGGAGATTCCTCATTTCTTACATAAATTAAAAAGTATTTTTAAAGATAATAGGATTGGTCTTACATGAAAAGCAAAGACTATGTTTAAAATATACAGGGCTATGACTTGATAAAAATAACCATGAGACTTCTCTATTTCAAGTGATAAATCCAGAGCAGAACTTCACTAATTAAAAAAAAAAAAAAAAAAAAAACCTTTAACACTTTTAATTGCCTCAGTAAGCTTTTAAGACTAGCGTGGTTTAGCAAAGGTCAAACTAAACATTCTTCTAAAACCAAAACTGAAGGTTGCCCCCAGAAAGCTGGTGATGATAAAAGCAAAGGTCTCTACTTTTCAAATCCTGTGTCACTTTGAGCCTATTCATCACCAGCTATCAGCACTTTCTGCTAGTAAGCAATGAGTAAATCAGTTATTGTCCTGGTTTGCTTGGGATAGTTACTTTTCTTCACAATGCCATGTTCTGGATTTAGGATGAAAATAGTGGTGATAACACACTGATGTTTTAGCTGTTGCAGGGCAGTGCTTACACCAACTCAGCCTCTTCTGCTGCTTGTGCTGCCCTGCCAGCAAGGAGGCTGGGGGAGCAGCAGGGGCTGGGAGGGGCGCAGCCAGGACAGCTGGCCCAGTGACCAAAGGGATGTCCCACACCATCTGACTGGGCATTGGTCAGCTGGTGGTGAGCAGTTGCATTTAGCATCACTCCACCACCACCACCCCCCTTTTGGTTGTTTTCTTTTTCTCCATTCCATTTCTCCTTCTTTCCCTATCCCTTTCTTCTTCTCTCCCTTTCCCTTCCTTTCTAAACATCTGTCTTTTCATCTAAACATCCTTCCAACTGCCTTGCCCTTTTGATTCTCTTCCCCCCCATCCAGCTGGGGAGCGTTAGGCACAGGAGTAGGCACATGGCTGTGTGGTGCTTAGCTGCTTGCTGGGATTAAACCACAACAGATGCTTATATTTGTATCACTTTTTTTCCTAAGAACTATTCTGATAAAGCATTGAAAATCAGGTACATCATGACACACTGCTCATAAATCCAGCTGTTGTTGCCTTGAACAAACTGCTGTTCTGTATGTACATGTTTGTTTGTTCACCCCTTCACAGAGCTGTGAACCGCAAACACAAGTTGAATACAGCATCTCCACTCCACATGCTCAGCTTCTGACTTACTTGTGTTCATTTCAAAAGAGTGATGTTCCTTCTCCAACCCAAAACAGGGCTTTGTTTTTACTTGTGGAAAAGCTCTTTGAAAGTGACGTGGATTTTATTTGTATCTGAGAGTTCTTCAACAAATGTATTAGGGCTTTTTGTTTTGGAAAAATGATGTTTTCTTAAGTTTACCATTTCAAAAGTTAACTGTAGAGATTAGTTTGAATTAAAAAAAAAAAAAAAAAAAAGCAGGCAGCAAGATTTTTCCCCAGAAGGTCTGGGAGTAAGCTTTTATAAGAGAAATCATAGGAAATCAGGTTTTAAGAATCAAAACATGTTTAATATTTAAATGGTTGTATGCTGTAAATCTTGGTACTTTGTCATTTGTAGTTTGTATATGCACTTATTCTATTATAATTAGCCTGTCAACATAGACATTTCCTACATATTTATATTGGTATAATAGTCTATTTACTCCTACTTACTATTTTAATTAGTATTTTTATCCGATTTATCAATAGATGATGTCTCCTCTTTGACATCTTAAAATCATTAGGAGCCTTTGATTGTGGAACCAGACAGTTTGCAACCTTTGCGTGCCAAGGAATATAGTGTAGGGGTTGAAAAAGAAATCCTACACCTTCCTTTCTCAAAAAGAATTTGGGACACAACCCTGGCAGGCAGAGCTTGCAAGTTACCAGCCCCTTTGTTTCTCCCAGATGGCAAACTGCTAATCCTCTACTTCCCTCCAGAACAGGAATAGGAGTTAATATGGGTTGAATTAGAAGACATTGGCTTCCTAGGAAGTACTTCTATCAGAAGCCTCATATGTTAAATGTGTAAGAAACACAGACCTTTTTGCAGCTGTTGCAGAAAGCTTGGACTTCTACCTTTGTGTTTAAATGTACTTTAAACATTTAGTTTTGCTAGTGGCTTTATTTATTTTATTTATCCTTTTAAAGTAGATCTTCCTATATATAAATACTGTTACAAAGTATTAAGAACAGTATTTAAGTTTTTAAAAACTGAACAATAATTCAACAATTTATGACTATTTCGTCCCCTAGGCTTCTGAATTACAGCATATGTCTTCTGCCCCGTGGCATACGACACCCATCCTCTAGTGACATCTTTCCTTCTGTATCCAAAGATAAACACGGAACCGGCAGTGCCAGTATTCAAGCTGGCAGCGTTCTGCTCGCTAAGGGGGGTATCTGTTACATAGGAGACTTATGTACCTACAAAAAGGATAAACTGGAACTTCTACAATCTGGTAATTATTTCACATCTACTAACCAATGAGGGGACAGAATGAAACAAACATGCAAAATCAGGGCTAGGTTTGTTCCTTGGTTTATGGCCCTCAAATGCTGGGAAAAGTAGCTCTTTACTTTAAGAAGTCTCTAAGAAACAAGGGACAATGAAAGGCAACAACAAATACACCATCCTCAAAACTGGTGGTGTGGAAATGCCAAAACTCAATCATGAGAATTGGTGAAATATAAAAATCTTGACTGTTTTCAGCTAGTGTGTTTGGAACTACAATTTATAATTAGTTACCTGATGTATTTTGTCCTATCCTAGTTCTAGAGAGCAGGACAACAACACTGTTCATTCCTGGGAAGAAGTATGGAGAAGAGGCTGACCAACAAGTTACTATTCCAGTTCAGACCAATTTTTGGTCTTACGTAGATGTGGATTCTTCCTCAAAGAAACATACACTGAAGGACAGCTTCCTGATTGGGCAGATGGTAAAACATACATCCTGTTACAGCAGTAACTGAACCATGGCAGTCATCTGTGTTTATGCTCATTTCAACTTGAGAAATAATGAAAACAATCAATTTTTTTTAGTATTTCTCAAGAAGTTACAACTTAAGTGACTGTCAAATTATCAAGTATCTTCTAAAATGAGCTAGTTTTCCCAGAAGTAGGCTTGTCTTTTATTCAGAATAGCTTTTGACAGCTACTACTGAAATCTACTATACTGCATCTTTTGCAGATAATTCACTAGCTAATCTTACAACACCCAGCATACAGATATCAGACATTACAGATTGAAAAATCTGCCATGTTTCTCCTAGTCAGCAGCCCAAAATAAACTTTCTTTCTCTTTAGGACTTGAGCTTGCTTCCACCTAATCTTCTGGATGGTTTTGGGCTTTTGTTATATGATGAATTTCCTTCATGTCGACTGTCTTTTCCTCTTGTGCATCATGTCCTGAAAAAAGCCATTAATCCTGAAGCCACCTTGTACAGAGTCTCACAGCAGTTCAGAACGCAGGACTATGAAGAGGTAACAAATATCTAATAATTCATAAATTCGTTATGCTTGGGGATACCATACTGTTTCTGGAATCACAAGGTTCTGTCCTGATACTCTGCTTATTCTTAAACCTGTCAACGCTCACCTCCTTCCCCTTCCCCCCACACCATATTCCCACTAGCAGTAATTAGGATCATTGGTAAATTTAGCTTCAGTTCTTTAAAAAGTTCTTTAAAAGGCTCAGTATAATAAATTATTCAACTTAGTTTCTGAAAAACACACTAGGTCTAATGCCTGTATGAGATCAGATCTCTAATACCTCCTTTTGACAAGAATAGTTTGCAGTCAGTTGTATGATATTTCACTCTAGATAAACTGTTAGTATCTCTAGTGTGATAAACAAGTATCAGATTACGATCTGAAACCCATCCTTATGCACAGCAGAATAGTGACAGGCATCTTTAGCAAAATTACTGGTGAAGTATGCTGCCTAAACTATATTACTGTGCCAGTGGTATGTTAAAAGGTAAATACTTTATTTTCTAGTTACTTAATATCTGTACACTCTCTCTAGTTTATTTTGTTTGCTAAGAATCTCCATGTTGAAATGAGCTCAGAAGCAGAAAACCTCATTCAGGGCTACTATCTTGCGAGTCGCAGAGTGAGAAGAGATTCTATGCACGGATCAAACTTATCAGCATCTGCACTAAAACTTCTGTATGTCCTACTCCTCATGGAACAAGAAACACATCTAAGTTTCAAATGGGAATTGTGCTAACCAGCTTGGAAGTAAAAAAATCTAAACAAGAAACTTAAATTTCGGAATGTTCAAGTGTAAAGAATCTTACTTAACATTTGTCAATACAGTATTTGTTAATATAGTATTGATTTTGAAAAAAAAATTAGACATTAAAAAGTGATTCAAGAATTATTAAAGCTGTCTAGACAAACAAGAATGGGACTTAAATTATCACAGCTTTCTCTTGCGCAAGTGAAGAAATGCAAAGATGCTGTAAATGTAGCTTGTGATTCACAGAAGCATTTGAAATTGGGCAGCATATAATGCATTCATTTCTGCACTATTTTATAATATTTCTAACGTACTTATATTCATCTCTTAGGATCTCCCTGTCTAAGGCTCATACGAAGCTAAGTTTAAGAAAGAAAGTACTTGAGGAAGATGCCTTGATTGCCATCTTGCTGCTTGAATCATCTCTTACCCTAAAGCACGGTAAACGAGTCTTTAGTCTTGGGTATATCACTTTTGTATTTTGTCAGTTTGAAAAAGCATTTCTCAGTTGATTGCAGCAATAAAGGTAGTTCTTTTTAAGTGAAAGCCCAGAATTTCCACTGCTGAGAACTAAGATCAGGAAAAAGTCCTCCAGTTGACATGTTTGGAGGGTCTCTGTGCTGCATGCCATTAGGCCTCAGGACAGCACAAAGCCTCCATCCTTTATGAGCGCGCATTAGAGACACCGCTCATCTGGAACTGCATAATTCAGCCAGGGTAAACTGTAGCTATAGAGTTCACTCTCCCTGGGGAAGAGAGAAAGTGTTCTCTTCGTTTATCAGTCACGTTTGTTCATGCATGAACTTGGCAGTGAGAAAAGAATGATGGTGTATCACAAAAATGCTAACTTACAAGACTGTATTACTGAAGGAATCTCGGTCACAGCTTCCTCCTTCCCCTTCCTCTCCTTAACACCACTGGCAGAAGTTTGATCAAGTCTTTACTGTACATATTGATTTCTTCTTTGCTTAGGTAAGTCTGCATTATGCATAGAACCAAATGCTCTATTTCCCTTTGACCTCAGTAACGAAAACTCCCTGCACCAGAGAGATATTTACCTCCAGAAGTGCCACCATCACCTGCTCAAGTTTATCAGCGCGTATGGCCCAGGAGGTCATGTTAACACTAATGAGGAGTGAAGTAAAGCCCGAAGCTCAACAACGTGAAACTTCTGTAGTTTTTCTTACTGGTTCTTTTCACATGTATTTTACAATAGTAGTTTAAAAACATTACAACCACTTTTCTAGTGTAAGACAACTTAAATTATTATTCATGTACTATAAATTTTAAAATGTATTAAAAAAGTCACCCTACTACTTGATGGTTTGTCTTGCTTTTACACTGTAGCAACAATGTTAGAATACAATGTTGGTATGCTCCTACAATCTGGAAAAAAAGTATTTGCACTACTGTAACCTTAGAGAAAGACTGGAAGGGATAGAAGAACCCCCCAGGAAAGCAAAAAAAATAGCAGACCCAGTAGGTTGGCAGCTCAATGGGCTTTAAGTCTAACTACCTCAGTGAAAAAGCAAGTGTAAAAGGTGGTAGTGGTAGATATATGCTCCTCCAGCTATGGACTTTCCTTTACTGTGTTTTCCTACTAAAGATGTAGCAGTAGGCATAGCACTGAGAAAGTTTTAAAGCTGAGGTCCACGTTAAAAAACTGCAGCAGCAAAGTCTTCAGTTCAAATCTGGGCAAGCCGAGCAGATACCGAAGGCTGGTGCGCCTTCTGCTCAGGAGGTCACCCTGCAGGATCATGCTGCTACGGCTCACATTGCCTTAGCAAGGAACTACAGGCACTAGAAACAGAAATTCAGGATTTTATTTATGCAAACACTGCACTGTAGATGAGCAGAACAGCTGCCCCTGTTAACATTATAAACACTCATTTAGACAAGGTAACACACAAGTTCTCCTACATCTTGTAACACTTGATTTATTCAAATTTATCATTCTGAGTGCACTTCACTGTCCATGCTGAGTTGTAAGAGTGGCTGCAGGGCTACCTCTCCTCCTAGAGTCATGCTCTCACCTGAACCCCATTCAGGAGTTATTCACATTTTCACTGAACTCAGTCTTTGAATCAAGCAGCATTTCTGAGAAGCAAGAAGGGCCTCAAAAGCATTTCCGAGTGCATTAGTAAACACGTCTGAAGTGTGGATTTCTATCTGGAAAAATAAAAAAGCATTTCAAATTTAGTCAATTTTCTGTAACCTTTATTAACTTTATACAAAATTACTAACTTTTACTGGCATTTCAGATATAAAGATACACATCAATAACCAGTCAGATGGGTAAACGGCAAATCATTATTTCATCATTATGCCAGTAAAATTACTTCCATAAAAGAGTTAAATAGAATTTTTTTAGAAATTATTTCTGACAAACCATACTAAGGAAAGTATATCCTTAGACGTTTGTTTGTTTGCTTCCAAGAAGAGCATGATTTTTTTTATCCTTGCCTCTCCCTAGCTTCTCCTCTGTGATGTTTTTAGCAAAAACTTTACGACTTGTATCAGTGTCACCAGTCGAGAACAGAAGTATCCCTGGCTAACAGGGCACAACTCCGGCTGACATAAGCCAGCAGAGCTCCACACAGCAGCACCCCGTACCCATCTTCCCCAGCTTGCAGTATGGCTTCCTGGAGCCTGAGCGCTGTGCCACCACAGCTGGAAAGCAACTCACCTTCTTCAGCAGCCACACTTCTGGGAGTTTCTGGGAGTTGGCAGAGTCTGCTGCTGGCTGCATGCACACAGCTTGAGGACACCAGAGGCCATCTGATGGCACCTTTAAAAGACAAAGTAAAATCAGAAACACAGGGAGCAAGTCTAATTGGAACATGATACTGAGAAATACTAATGAGCTGGCACATCAGATACAATGTTACTCATCAAAAAAATCAGTTGGGTAAACGGCAAAGAATTATCATCACTGTGCCAGCAAACAGCTTCCTGCCGGTGCTAAGACTCCGGGTACCAAGCACAAGGGGATTTGTTAAGCCTGTCTCAACAGACGTGCTTCTGGAAATCAAAGCAGAAGCACGTTTTTAACCATTTAGCACCAGAATGAATTTGCCAGAGCCAAAAGAAAAGCTCTCTGGGCAAAAGAAACACAGGTCCCTGCTGATACATTCAAGCCCGCTACTATGGTCGCCTTTCCCTTGGGCATGCATTCCGCCAGACTGCTGTGGCTAAGCACCAGCAGGGAGGGTGAATCAAGCACACTCTTCTTTACTTTAGCTGCTCGCTTTCAGCTAACATCTGTTCATTCTTCAAAGCAGAAGTTGTGTTTCTTAATAGCTAAAACCTAGATTCCCCGATGCTACCACAAGCATCTCCTGATTCCTTTAGGATTCAGGGATTGCAATTGCTTTGTTCTCAGGAGCACGCATTAGATCTTCTATAACCATAACATCTTTTGCAATTCCAACTTCAAATAAAAGCCCTCAAAAATTCTCTACTATCACACGGTTTGTGTTCCAAGAACAAAAAGCAACATTTAAAGTTCACTTCAGAGTCTTTAAAAACCTCACCTTCCAGTACTCTTGCTGACAGCATTCAAAGGAGAAATAGCAGCCTACTGGTCCATGCACCAGAGATCACGTAGTTTGTACAAAGGCAGAACTCAGCTGCATAATAAACAAATGGAGTCATATAAGCAAAAAAGTTTAGTACTACAAAGAACTACTACCTGAGGCAAGATGGCTAAGAAAGTAAGGCTTATATTTAGGCTCCTAGGCCCACAATGTAACAGCCATCACGGCCACTTGCTAGTAGAGACATACACCATGTGATGTTTTAACCAAAGTTTAGGAGACTTGTGACAATGCCACAAGTTGAGAACAGCAGAGCCAGTCAGCAGTTCAAACACTCAGTAATTAGTCTGTGCAAACTGCGGAATACAATCTAGGACAGTTTAAGACTTAACCCTACATGCAAATGCTCATAGTTCTCCTTGTTCCACTTGCAAGAAGATTTAAAAGCCATAAAACAGCTTCAGAAATCTAGACCTAAGGTTTAAGAGACAGCTTTGGAGGCTTTCCTCAACATTAAGTGCAGTAAGAAACGCTCACCTCTGTAGCTCCACAATTCATGTGACATCCTCCTGCTTGCATGATAGCAGCATAGCACAGTCTGGGCTGAAGATTTCCAGAGCCAGAAACCAGCTCATCTCCGAAATTCTTTTGCTGCCTAAAACAAGGAAAAGAAACAAATGAACCAAAGAGGTTTTATTGATGAGAACTCCGCTCTGAGCCACTAGCAGAAGGTATCAGCATTTCCCCATGGAAAGTTAGCCAGTCTAAAAAATAGCAGTCTACTATCTGCTGACCTAATGAAAGCACTGTTGGGTTTTATCATTACCTGGGGGGAAAAGCAGACAGCATTGGCTGAGATTAAGCTTGAACAGATAGCATCTTACCTAAAAAGTTCCAGAATTAAAAGTAACCGTGGGATTAAGCTGCTCCTAATGAGCAGCCACCGCTGGGGAGCGCAGCACCCCACCAGGTACAGCCTTTAACCCTACGTCGTTTGCCCTGCTCTGGGGAGCTTACTGTCGGTTTTCCTATAGGCTGAACTCAAGGTCAGCATTTGTGCTGGAGTCCTGGGACTATCCCAGCTCTGTCAGCCCATTTGGGATCTGTGCCTACAACGCAAACAGGGCAGGGTCAGGGTCACCACACACCAGCCAAGTTCCCTGGAGAAAAAAAGAGTAATTTATCTTAACAGCACGACACTCGCTCACCTTCCGAGGGACAGCTCGTAGCTTTCATAGCGCAGCCGCCCCGCCGTTAAGCCGTGACCGTCACCGCAAGGAGCCCAGGGCCGACCCCACCCCTCAGAGAGCCCCCAGGGCCAGCACCGCGCCTCACACACGGCTGGGCTCCGGCGCCGCCACGGGGACCAAACCCTCGCTTCTCGCCGCCACAGGGCCCCGAGCAGCCCCCGCAGCCCTCTCCTGGCTGAAGCAGCCCCGGGCAGCCGCCCGCAGCCGCCCCGAACCCACCGCACCCACCCGCACGCGTCCTGCCCGACGCCACCTCAGCAAGAGACAAAATGGCGGCCGCCCCCGGCGGTTTTGGCGGGGCCGCGCATGCGCAGAGCCCGGCTGCGCAGAGAAGGCGGGAGGGGAAAGGCGGCCCCCTGAGGCGGGATGGCGGTGGCAAAGGGAAGGCGGTTGTGTTTAACCACAGGAAAATATGGGAAGTTGCCTTACCTTAATTACTGTTCTTTGAAAAGTAACATTCATCCTTACAACTACATACTCATCTCTACGAATCTGGCCGTTTCTATTTTTTTTTTTTAAATCAGTAAACACTAACTCATCTCCTTGAATGCTCCTCACAACTCTCATCTTTAAATAAACCACTTAGAATTCTAAATAACAAATATATGCCCAAATACCTAAACATATATACACTTAAATGTATCAATTTTACCAATATTCACCATATTTTTCATATTGCACAATAATACTCTTCTGAAAACCTCACAATGCCACACTGTGGACCAAATCTCCAGCTTTTACCATACTTTACCACACTTTCCCTCATACTTTACCTCAGACACATCATCCACCTACTTCTAACAGCTCTCCTAACGCCAATACACACTCTTCCAAAGGACACCCCACTTTCTGGGATTTAACTTCCAATGACATGCTCTGCCTCTCTGAAAGGTATCACAAGTTTCAACCAACAATGAAATTAACACAATCTTTTTTTTTTTTTTTTTTTTCCCCGAAATGGTCATTCTTGCCACTATTTTGTTTTCCTTTTCTCTCAATTGTACTTTAACACCACAAAGAGATCTTCAGAAAAGTTACTATAAATGCAGAATGTTATTATTAGAAACTGCTTTATACAATGACAAACTGAAGTGATACACACTTTGTAACTCAATACATATATAATATCCGGTGAATAATATTTAATATTTATGTTAACAATAAACTATATAAAAAGTACAGTGTTTTACAGAACATATACATTAGACATTATTGGTGCATTTAATTTCAATTCTTCCTGCCTAAATATAGGACACATTTAAGTGAAAAATCTGACATGAACAAGCCAACTCTTACACATCATTTCCTTCAATGCATGAACCCCCAAAAAGACAACATAAATGAACCTTGATGCCTTGAATACAAAAGTAACAATACTGGAGTAACACTTAAATTATATTTTAAACCCTGCCACACACAACACAAATATATGCATCGATACAAGCAGTACTTGATTTATTTAACTACATTTAATCTGCAGAGCACCCTGTGTTTGCTGTATGTGTGTAAATATTTTTCTTCACATTTTCACTTAAAGTGAACATGCACCTACATTTTCGAACTGTAACTACATACACTTATGACTATCTCAGCAACGAAGCCCTGTCCTGACTGCTGTCTCGCATTTTGGCCACTGCCTTCCTGCAGTGAAGAAAGTGCACACAGTTATTTTCACTGCGATTTCTAGATTTGTTGGCCCTTTTCTTTTCCAACCTAGTATTGCACTATACTTAGCCAACATCACGTTTCCCCTTCTCCCCCCTTTTTCTGTAGTTTACCTGTTAACTTCCTGTACTGGACTAGATGACAATACCTGTTGTTACCACTACTGCCTCTCTTCCTCTGCTGTATTTTGGTGCTGCCAGCTACTGCCTTCTCCTGTTCCCCCAGTTCAGATACCACCAATATCCTCTATGACAGAAACCAACAATAAGCCACATTAAGTTACTGAGCTATTAACTACAATTAAGAATCAAGTCCTTCTGATTCACAAACAGTACTTCAGGAATTATATGCTGTAGATGTGATTTTTTAACTTAAATATATATATATGGTGTAATAAATAACCTTTTTTTTTTTTTTTTTACTTCAAAACGAGATTAGTTTTGTGAATTTGTCGATGTTTCTCCTTGGCTTCCACTTTCTCCTTGTACTGAATGATTCAAAAATTGTCCTGTAGCTCCAATGTACAACCTGGAACGCATTGGCCATTTCTGCAAGACAAGAGACAAACAGTGCTCAAACACCTTGTAGTCTCAATGCAATTCTGAGCAACACAACCAAAGCTTTAAATCTTGATGGAATCACGATACAAGAAAACAGAAAACTGTTGCTATTTCCAAACAGGTTCTGTCTTGCCACTTACTGGAAAATCTCACTAGGACCTAAGCAATGCAATTGCAGCATTGGTATTCTCGCTGGGAGTAAACACTGAGGTACAGTTCCTCAAACCCTCACGAATCACCTAAACAGTTGTAAGTCAACCTGGTGAGTCATCGCACCAAAATTTGTATGGTATCTGCTCTATTACTGACACAAACCAAAGCACTCCCATTGGTAGTCGCAGGGACACTCCTGCGGAGGCCCGGTGTTTGCACTGCTTGCAGCCCTTGTGTGCATACACTGGCTCATGCCAGCCTGCCTGCACAAAATGCACAAGTTCTATTTTTGCAGTTCACACTTCTCAGCAGCCCTGGAAATCACCGTGCAGTCGGCGTTACTTCAGCTGTGTGCCCTTCTGCTGGAAGGGAAGAGCTCAGCTCGAGCTTGGTACGCTGCGTTGACTATTAGAGCTGGATGTTTGAAGAGATAATGGGTCACACATATTTGATGCAAAAATACCTGAAATGGCCAGCCCGGTCTTCTTCTTTTAAACAAAACAAAACAAAAAAATGCTTTTGGGAAATGGCTGACACCTTTCCTCTGAGTAACAAAGAGGAACATGTCAAATCATCAGTGCTGCAGTTAAATCTAAAGCCTTCTATGTAAAGACACGAAGCAGAACATTCTCACATTTTAAAAACCCTAAGATCCCATTCGGTATTTTTAGTTCAAGCTTTGTGTCATGAGTTCATCGCTAATAAGGCATCTGAGATATTACCTGGCTTAAAGTCAATAACCATGTTTCTTGTTCAGCGTACACACCACTGTACATGGATATTTTAGTTAACACATTATTTCTATTTACTCTGCTGGATATACAACTGTGGTCACACTCCTTACCCGCACTGGCACTCTCATATCCTGCACTTTGATCTTTTTTAGGCACGTACTGTGATTTACCTGTGACACCTTCATTCCAGCTCCAACTAAAAACTAATTTACTCCCCAGAATTTTATACAGTTAGATCAGACTGACGGGATCTTTAGCAGAACTAACTACAGGTAAATGACACATAAATAGGATTATAAAAAGTAATCGCTAAATGAACTGACTGTTGCTGTATTCCAGTAGCCTGGGAAATGTGCAGCTGGGTAATTTAACTGCTTTAATAACTATTTTTTGTGTCAGCAGTACTCAGCTGCTGGTAAAAAGTGCCGTGAGAGACCTGTGTCCCCTTACCCTAGCCAAGAGAACTAACTGAAGCTAGTAAGAACTTATTTTCAAATGCATCACAATGTTTACTTTGAATGTTTATTTTTTCCTTAAATTATTGCTGTCTTCTGATTTATGTAAAGGTTTTGCCTCCCTAATGAGTCTACTAATCATTGAATTGCCTAGGAAGCCTACATTCACGTCATGCTTCTTACGGTGACCAACACTGTGAACAAGGAGCTCTCTCTGAATTAGTCACTTTATAGGAATTAGAAATTACTTCACAAATTAATCTTAATTAAATCATTCTGAATTCATTAGCCTCTTAAAAAAAAGACCATCAGTGCTCTAACTCACTCCCTGAGATCGGAGCCAAGGAAAACACCTCACGGTATTTCAGAGTCGCATTGGTCACTGTGCAATGCGTTTGGAAACAGTTTCCATCCCCACGTACTCTTTAAGAGCAGATCCCCTTTCGTGTCCTCTCTGCATCCCTAGGACTTTTTTTTTTTTTAATTGGGGCAAGGGAAATGTAAGCACATGCTACATGAAGTAAATGCCTCAGAAAACCACCTTCACAGAAGGAATTAATTCACAGCCAGTAATTAATGTCACATTTTGTATCTTGGCTGCCTCGGCAGGAGACACAGCGCAGGCCTGCAGACGCTGCCGTGGCTGGGGAACATCTCACCACCTCAGTGGTCCTACAGTGGTTCCCAGCGGGTTTGGTGACGGTCTCCGAGGCCTCAACACGGACACAGTAAAGCAGCCTGAAATCTTTACCTTCACCTCAATATTTTAACACCAATTAACCTCCCCACTGAGAGACCGCTGCCCCTCAGCCATCCTACCTTGACCGGGTGGAGGTACCCGTCCCCCCGCAGGGCACCCAGGCCCTCTCCCGGCGCCTCCTCCTCATCCTGCAGGCTGCGCGTCAGGTGGGCGATGTAGGTGGTGGCCAGGAGGAGCACGTCCAGCTTGGAGAGCTTGGTGTCAGGCGGCACGGAGGGCAGCGTCTTCTGCAGCTCCAGGAAGGCCTGGCGCAGGGTCTGCACCCGGCTGCGCTCCCGTGCCGCGTTGGCAGCCGCGGGTCGCCCCGGGGCCGCCCCGGCTCGCTGCCCCACAGAGGGTGGCAGGGCCTCGGGCTCCGAGCTGGGGCTGGAGGTCTCCTTGCTGCTCTCCGCTAGGTGCCTACAGTCCATGGGCGGCTTTCCCGGTGGGAGGATCCTGTAAGTGACAAGGGTGTCCGTAAAGACAGCGTGCTGCTGGCTGTGGGCTCCCCTCAGTGCTCTGGACGCGTTCTGAATATGCACAACAAAATAATTAGCTAAACGCAGCTCTCTCCCTGCCTGGAGGACAAAAAGCATGGAGTGGCATTAGGTCGACCTCACCATGCTGAAGCGAATGCCTTCCAGAAATAACGTCCCAAACCCGAGTGCTGTCAGCTCTAGGAGTACTGACGGTGCCTACGGACAGGTGTATGGATGGCTTTTTGGCTCACTGTTCATAAAGCAGTCCATTTGATGCCATGCACAGTCACAGAAGCAGACTTAAACCTTTAAACATAAGCCCATAGCCCTTAAGATAAGCCCTTAAAAAACCCTAAGTACTATTACACCAACTGCTTTCTGTCAGTCACTCATCCTTCACCGATCACACAGCTTTTCTGAGAAAAAAAACAGCGCAGCCACAGTGGTTCCCATTTACAACCAAGTAAAATTAGCCTGTGGGTGTTTTTTTTTTTTTCATATCACTTGTGTAATTTGCAGTGTGAGACTATATTTTCTGTCGATGGTCTAACAGGTGATTGGGGCTCCATTAACTGCAGAAAGAAAAATGTTATTTGCTGACACAAATGAAAATTGAGCCACAGAACACAGCACCTGTGTTTTAGAGGGGTGCAACTTGGTCCATGAGTCTAAAGGATCAGGAACGGCGTTCACCTGTCCTTGCACACCTAACATTAAGCAGGATTTAAGATTAAGCACTTGTCAACCCTAAAGTCTTGCAAACTGTATTTCGGCCATTGGGGGGCAAAAGAATCCTTTGAAAACAATGGCAGAACACCTCCTTTGAGCAAAGCTGGAAATACCTGCCGAAAAGTCTTCCCTAACTTCCAGAAAGCACTGCCAGCTCTACCTGTAATAAAACTCAAATTCCTTAAGGAGTTCATTCAGTTCCCCTGTAATACACAGTCCATCATTCCTCCCCGAAGTGCAGCTCTCCGGAGCTACAGTAATACCTGAGGCAGTCGTTCTTACTCAAGCAGCCTTCCAAAGCCCTCAGGCAGCTCCTGGCTTCCCCGTGTCGGAGAGCTGCTGTTTCTGTGGTGTCCTGCGTAGACAGCAAGCACAAGAACAAGTTAGTAAGGCAGCCAAAGACAATGTGATTAAAAAAATAAATAAATAAAATCGATACACATGAATGTCTGAAGATCTAAATTTACAGAAATTAGACTTTGACTTTGCAAACCATTTCAAACAAGACAAGGAACTCAGATGAAGATTGCAGTAATTATTACCTGTATAAAATAAAACTCATGTAGACTTACATGAGCTTATCTTGAATGAGGGCAAAAAAAGCTGTCCTCAAATTGTCTAGTTCCTTTAATTTAAAATTAAAAGAAGGTGACAGCATATTATTTCTTGGTACCTTCCCTCTCAGTCACACTTGGTTCTGTGCACATTTTAGTGGCGAAGAAGTTTCCCTTAATGCTGGAAAAGTCCGAGTTGCACAAGGACACAGACACACTGGGTTAGCAGTACTGAAATGCAGGCTTAAGGCAGGTTGGCATGCAATTTTGGTTTCGCCGTGTTGGTGTATAACCAAATTTAGAGCTATAATGCACAAGACAGGCAGAACATAGAAAAGCATGTACCTAAAAACCGCATCTCCTCACGCGTCCCTCTGAAGCTGGAGCTTTCCTGGCAGCAGCTTCACATCTACACGGGATGGAGCCCCGGGCCTGAGGAGAAAGAAGCCAAAACTCAGCCGTGGGCACGGGGGTGCCCCTCAGGCAGCTGCAGCAACACCCGAGGGGCCGGGAGCACCGTGCTTGTGCCCCACGGAGCGGGACCCGCGCTCCTCCCCAGCTGAAACCTTGCGGGACCAGGCTCCGCGGCTGACAACTGAGGCAAATAAAAACCCTCCGGGCAGCCACAAGTCCCCACCTCGCTCCCTTTCGGATTTTGTGAGAGGAGGTTTGGCTTTTAAGGCACCTCAGTACCTCCCCCCCCCAAGAGCTCCACCGGGCCCCGGGCAGCGCCCGCCCCTCGCCGGGCGGGGCTCGCCCCTCACGGGCAGCCCGGGGCCGGGGCGGCTTCGCCTCACGCCCGGGCCCAAGGTGGAGCCCTGGGGGCTGTGGGCACACAGCTTCGGTTTTAATTTTTTTATTATTATTATTTTATTTATTTATTTATTTATTTAGCTTTGCCTCAAACCCACTCTTTGAGTTTTCCAGCCCTGCTGCAGCTGTTGCTTCTCCTCTGGCAGAGAAGCGAGGCTCTGCGCTGTATTTAATTTCTGAGGCTCGCGGAAGAGCCGTATTTCACCTGTGATTTAGGTACAAAACGCAGGCAGTGCCTTGTTTGTCCAGGTACACTTTACTCCCTTCACATAAATCACTCACTGGTGTTACACCTGTGCTTTGGTGTGAGCGCGCCTGGTCTTCTCTCCAATTTGTTCATCAACCCTTCCCATTTCTGGGATAAGGATTTAAAAAGTACCATCAGTACTACTGACTGCAGGACTCTGCAGTGCTGTCAGCTGTCTCCTACTACAGGGCAGCAAAGTACCTCTTACTGTATTTTCTAAATTACTAACGAAGGTGGCTTCTTGATACTGGAATACGAACACCCATCCGTGCTTCTCCTGTATGCCAACAGATTTTAAAACCGACAAGATAGGACAAAAATTTTCAATTTCATCTCTCCTTTAAATTCACAAACCGACATAGTTTAACGTCCAAAAACGATGACTTGATCAAAATTCCCTTTTTAAATGGCAATATTTTTTTGTGTGAACATTTTCATGAACAACCCGAAAACAACCAAAACATCTGAAATGTGCTCTCTCTTATACCCCTCTACAATTGTCCTCCCTCTACATTTTTCTATTCACAGTCATGAACAGAAATATGTAAAATTCAATACTTTTTAGAAAATGCCCCCAAAATTCAGAGGCATGCTGCAAAATGTAAACTTATGTGAGTTCAACGTGCCATTCTCCCAGCTCCCCCCAACAAGCAGGCATCCCCTTCCCTCAGTAATAATCTTAAAATTTATCTAAAATTTGTATTGGAATGGCTCTATTCTTGTGTGTGTGTATAAATACATGTTGGAGCATGATATACTTTTTTTTTTTTAAGACAGAAAAACTGAGATGTTACCATAATTCCATTTCATAGCCACACGTCTTTGATGAATTACTTCAAAGCTATTCCAATGCAGCTCACAAGAGAGACAGACAGTTTGAGGGGCTCTCCACCAGCCCAGCCCTTCTCACTCCAAGAAATGAGATGAGAACCAGGGGAAACCTGGCTTGAACTTGTCTCTTCGCTAGCAGCCAGGTGAGGAGCGCTGTGAGGAGGGAGAACAGTGTGGGCAGCGAGCAGGGTAAGGGCTGGCCTTGCCGGGGCTGGAGAAGCGTGAATATTTATGCACCTAATGACAGCGTGACTGATTGCACTCATGGGGAATTGCAGGCTTAAAATGCAGGGGTTTAGGGCAAGCCTAAGAATGGGAATAAGCACACATGTAAGCAGCTGGGATGTGGCCAACTATTACAGAATAGACAGAGTGAGAGGGAGATTAGATCCAAAGAGACTGAGACCCATTTTGCGATTTCACCGGTGGGCAGCTTTCAAAGGGGTTTGCTTTAGCCAGACGGGAGTTGCTGGGCTGAGGGAATCTGTGTGAAACCCCGCAGCCTGTGCTGTACAGGGAGTAGTTCATTTGGGACTTACACATATTGTATGTAATCTGTAATGAACAAAAATCTTAAAGTGAAAGCCAAACATACTCAGAACCTATGAAAATTAAGTCACACTCTAGACAATGTACAGAGCAAAACCCACACTGAGAAATACTGAAAATCCATTAAATGGTTTTAAATGGATATCTTGCAAGGCAGAGAGAGATGTAAGTGTAAAGGTGGAAAGGCTTCCCCAGACAGCATCACGCCCTCGAGGCCAGGAGGTGACCTTCTGATGCCGCGCACTGGGGCAGTGATCCAGCAGCTGTCATTTCAAACACATTCACCGCAGGTACTAGCACTCGTCTTTGGGAATTGTCTTAACAAGAAGCAACTTTTAAATTTCTGTCTTGCTTGACCTGAACATCACAGATGATGACAGCTAAAATAGAAGTATCATATGCTCTTAATACTAATTTCAGTAACAGTAATAATGACAGTTACACATCAGATCTTTACTCATTGTTTTGTATTTTCTGACACTGGTGCTAAATCACTTGCTAGCTTTAGCAGAAGCAAACAGTTCCTTGGATTTATAAGACCACACATTTGCTACCTTAGTTTTGCAAATCTGCTTCTTTTCTAAGGACAATAAATATTTTGTTACTTAGGGGGAGAATGAACACAAGAGTTAAATTTATTTGATTCACATTTACTAAAAGGCGATAAAATATAAATGGTATCAATACACAAAATATTAAATGCAAAAAAGACAGATCCTGATTTCCTTATGCGGGAAAGATTCCTTTCTTATTTCAGAGAGGGTCTCAAGCATGAGATGTTGAGCTGACATTCATACAGAGACACTCCACTAGGAAAGATTTCATTCCAGGGGCTATTTACAGCCCAAGCTTTCCTTATCTGCACATCTAGATTTTCCTATATCTGAAGTCTCGAGCTTTCATTTAGTTACTCAAACTAGCGCAAAGCAGCCAAACTCAAGTCCCAGCTACTTAAAGCAGAACTCAAAGTCAAATTCATTTGTAATATTCCCAATCCCAAAATTCATCAGTACAGGTCTCATTAATGTCATTGAGCCTTCTTTTCAAACTACTCCACATCATTTACCAAAAAGTGGAAAAATTAAAATGGTGGAAAATATATTTTACAGATCTTGTACAGATCTTCTCCAAAATAGTGTCCTAATAGCTCCTTTCTTCTTGCAGTACGAGACCATTAGCATGCCTCTGCATAATTGTTAAGAGTATCCTACACAGAGGGAACCAGCCTCGTGACCTCACTCAGGTCACAAACCAGGTAAGACAGTAACTAAAAACAACTCCTTTTTTGAGGAAGTTCAAGGAAAAGGCCACCGGTTTAGCCAACCAAGTGCTAATATTTTTACATGCTTATAACACAAAATACTGCTTCTAAATAAATGGGCCGACACCTTGTATTGTGGAATGGTCATAAAAGGCAGTGTTAAGTTCAACTTCATCTTGTCTGGTTTTAAGATTAGAAAGACACAAATTACATATCCAAAGAGATGCCAATACCTTTCTTTTTAAGTTTTGAGGAAGAAAAAAAGAAGAAAACAAAACAAAAAAAAAATAATGACCGACTGTGCATCCTGTAACTTCTGGCTCTTAGAATTCAGCTGAGTTTTGCCATTACTTCAGGCTCCTCCTCAACCTACATGAGAGAGATCAGAGAAGACAGATCAGATCTTCATGCCAGAACCACACCAAAGCCACTACAGCTCCTGTCTTCATCAACATGTCTCAGGACCACTCAACAAACTTTCTACAACTTTACAAACACTGTTACCAAAAGCTGCAGATGAAAAATGAACAAAGTACGCACGGTCTTTCCCTCTGGTAAGGAGATCAGGTGATACAGTGAAAGCCCTTTTATTTTTCAATCCCAAACTTGAGGGCAGATCAATCTGAATTGGCATTATTTGCTGATATGGGGTATTACACACACCCTTAACACAAAATCAATCAGCTTTTTCCACATGCATACAGCACAAAGTGGTGATAGTTAACAATTCAGGCAAATAAACCTGTACCAAATACTGTTAATTTTCAAGTTCCACAAGAAATCTTACTAATAGTCAAAGCAGTTTCTCATATAAATGAAATCAGATAAGACTCAGTCTTTTATTCCAAAACATTTTACTACAAACTCTGCGTAACTGATTATACCCAACCTTACTGGACATGCAATCAGTGATTAATATGATACTGTAGCATACTAGCTCTCTGAGAAAGAAAGATCGTATTGTTCCAAATCTCTTTCTGAATTAAAATATTAGTCTATTGTATGAATCATTTCACAGATGGCTCTGATTTGTCTTGGTTTCGATGCAGCAATTAATTCTGCTCAGAATTAAGAGAACAGAAAGATACAGTTATTTCTGGAGTCTCTGGTTACAGCGTTATTTGAGATCAAGAGAGATTCAAATACATCTTTTTTTAGCAGTGAACCCTAAAATCCTTCAAGGCCAGGTGACTTAACAAAACAAAAACAGGTTTTTGTTTGTTTGTTTATTCCAATCAAAGCAGAATGTATTGGTTAGTCCCAACATTTATCACGTAGTGCCTGTAAATAAGCAGGTTCCCATATTAATTGATTCCTTTCAGAGCTCAGTTAGCCAGGGTAGGCACTCTGCACAATACACCACGATAAAAAGTCATAAGAAAAACAAGGGAGAGTTTTCCTTATCTCCTTACCTTCTGATTTGCAGTGACACATTGTCATAGTTTTAGCTGGAACGGAGTTAGTTTTCTTCACAGGGGCTCACACAATGCTGTGCTTTGGGTTTTTGGTGAAAACAGTGGTGATAACACACTGATGTTTTTAGCTGTTGCAGAGCAGGCTTGCACTGAGCATTTTTCAGCCTCTCATGCTGCCCTGCCAGCGAGGAGGCTGGGGGTGCACCAGGAGCTGGGAGGGGACTCAGCCAGGACAGCTTTGCCTAGGGAGCTGGCCTTATCTCAGCCCATGAGTTCTCGCACTTTTATCTTCCTGATTCTCTCCCCCATCCCACCAGAGAAGGGAGAGAGCAGCTGGGTGGCACTGGGCTGCCTGCGGGGTTAAGCCACAACACAATCCTATGCTAAACGATCTGAGTCCGCATCCTGAAAAATCACCGTGTGCGTCTTCAACACTGACTCCACTTACTAGCCGTGTGTAGTTTTTTTTCCTTCTGCCCCAATGTCAGAAGTGTGGGATTGTGTGGCTTTTTTAACTGTATCACGGGCAGTTCTCTGCACTGCCTTCTACCCACGTATGCTAAGAAATATAAGGCATTAAATTAACTAATAACACCTGAAAGACAAATACTCAAAGATATGAGGTTTTATTTTACCATCCTAAAGTAGTACTTTGTTCCTGAAACAGGTTTGATAGAGCCATTTGCGACATAGAACTCATGTTAAAGTTGCTGGATAGCTCTCTGTATGTGCATTCTGCTTAAAAAGAAAATCCAGAAGTGCCCAGGTGATTTTTGGACCTACTGCTGCCTGACAAGTTGCAGGTGCCCTTTGGTCTTCTGAGGTCTGGAGGTAACACACCTCCTGCAAAGAGGTGCCAGGCGAATGCAAGCAACTGTGCTCCTGCCAGCGTGCCAAGCAGCAGGCATACACCTCCTGACATGAATGTACCTGTGCGGTATCGGGGCATTCAGACACGGAGAGGTGTGCGTGGTCCAGCTGGCAATCAGCTCCTGAGGAGATGCGCGCTCTCTCTCAGCTATTTGAGAAAGGATTTGTTCTTTTCAAAGGCTCAGTGGGTCTAGTCAGCGCATTCTGTTACTGCATGAAGTGTTCTGTACTGCATCTAAGGATCATTTTTCTCTTCCCCAGTTGTGGGCACAGCCAGCAGCACAGGGAGCTGGAGTGAGGGACCACAGGCATAGGAAAGAACGGCAATTTCCAAATCAGCAGCCTCTAGGTAAGCAGAACTCATGGCCAAGAAGGGATGCCTTTTATCACTGTGATGCGGAATGCTGTGGCAGTGCTAGGTACTGCAGGTTTAGTGTATATAAAAACTGCTTTTTTGGAATTACCTCTCCTGAAATTTAAGCTTAGGGAGAAGATAATGGCATTTTATAAAATCTCGCATGTTTTTATTCATATAGTTATCTTTTGCCTTCTAAACCCATCAGGAATTAATTATTATGGGCAGAATCACTCAGCACCACATTCAGCCTAACTGAATAAAACATGGGTAAACTACCACGAAGGTATGCCATACTGTAACATTAATTATGGTTCTACAAATGCACTTGTACTCACCTTTGCAGGTACTGCACATCCCCCAGAAAAAGGCAAGCAACCACCAAATTGGCTGAATTGCCCCCTGAAACCTTGCAGGAACCACAGGAATCAGAATCTACGTATACCTGCTCTCCGTTCAAATAGCTCTGCCTCAGCAACACATTTCAGAACTTCATCTATTCCTCTTTTAACTTCAACTTACCTAGCATTATGCTGACTCCCCTCATATCCCATCTCATGGCTCTCACATCCCATCGATGGCAAGAAAATTCCTCACATTTCTCGTCCCCAGCCTTCATAATTAATTGCTGATTGATACTTTCTAGACCTCCCTAAGAAGATGTTTACATTTTTCCTTCAACGCCATCACCAAGGAAAGGCAGTGAGATGGGATGTAGCTGCTGCAAAAGGCACTCCAGGCCTGTTGAAAACATGCTCTCAGCTCTGCCAAACTGCTCCAGCTGCAATTGCCAAATATTTAACGCACCTAATTCTGAATAGGGTTGGAGTGCTTGCAGGCAATTCAGTGGCCAGATGCAGCTCTAGGATGTAGAACTAAAATTTCCCTTATTTTTATATCTTAACTCTGTATTTCCCCTTTTTTTCCTGAAGCCAAGGCTGAAGATATTCTTTATTTTTGAGTGTTCAAAAGTTTGCTGAAATCAATATTCAGTAAGAGAATGATATTTAAGGTTGTTGGAGGTACCGTTCCCTTCCCTCCCCCAAATAAGAGAACTATACTCTGTAATATGAATTAAATGTATCTTTGGAAGTTATGCTTTGGGTACACAATCATTATAATCTCAGTACCAGCCCTTTCCCCCTAAACTTTGATGAAATAGGCCTTAACAATCCTATTTATTGTATCGTCAGTCAGGTTTATATAAACTAAAGCCCAGTACACACGTAGAACATGCACGTTCTTGCCTGTTATTGACTACACATGTAATTTACTCTGTATAGATTTCAGGTCACACAAATCATCTCTAGGCATTTATAAATATCTAATAAATAAAATAAATAAATAAAATGGTGATAAGAGCACCTGCCTGAGAGCTGAGAAGATGCAGAATTAAGGAGAAGGAGAACTAACACTGCCACCTAACAGGTTCCTCCCCTTTGAACGAGAACTATACGGTATGTACGGGGTGGCTCAGAGTGTGGCTTATGTTTAGTCGGCCCAATCCAGGGGAGGTGTTACGTGCTGACTGTATCATTTAAATGTATTCCCATATTTCCACTTACATACCATACACTGGAGAGACAAAAGGTGACTTTCCCACCAAATTCTGAATTGCAAACCTATTACAATATTTAACTTAATAAGCAAGGAAGTGTGGGCAGAAACCGCTGGTTACAGTTTAAGCTTACAACATCAGAATTTCAACAACTTCTCTACTCAGGGAAAATTAATAACAGTGTTTCCCATTGGAAGGTATTAGGTGTCTTTAAAATAGTTAAGTTATTTGTTTTCTTTTAATTACTTCCTGCCAATATCTCTAAGTGTTCAAAACTAACTTCTAAAATCCAATATGAAATTGCTATTGTTTTTATATCATCAAAAAAGAAAGATTAATGACACATTTCAGTAATCCAGTAATAACTGGCTTTTTTCATTGTTCAAGCTCTATGTAATCCTCAGTGGATCTTAGATGTAGGTTAAAAAGGTATTTAATGCCTGGTTTTCAGTTGCCAAGGGTCAAACATCACCTAGCTTGTATAAAGAAAGAGGAAACATCTGTTGAAATAATTTATTTGACTAACACAGAGGGTAGGATTAAAATTCACTGATTTCTTTGGTCTGATACTGAATTTCAATTAAACAATGTAAGTATTTGTTCGGTTTGACAAAATTGCCTTTGCTTTACATGTGGGCACATTTATGCATGTCACTAATTACTGGATCTGACTAGGGAATACTGTGATTCGCGATTACTTCATATCTGCATACTCTCTGAGAAAGAGTATTCTTGTATTTTGACTTGATTCTTTTTCCCCTAAATATTTTAAAGAATTCACGAACCTTTCACAAATTCCCAAGACTGTTCAGTTTCCATGGAATTCCACTAGTAACAAGATTAAAATATAGTCTTAAGGTCAGTGATTACACATGGACTTGTGATGTACAGCAACCTTTAGCATCCAAGATAAAAGTCCTGTTTATAACACTAGTTTTTGAAAATAATAAATGTATGTCATCTGACTCTGGTTCCTTATAATCTTTACGTGAATCAAAGCCGAATCTTCAAGACTAATTGTAAAAATATTTCTTCTTTTACATCGCTATTTATATATTCATTTACATTTGCAAATTAAATAAAGACAGACATTTTATTCCAATCATGGAATATTCAATCTTTGTCCTTTCTATGGTCAGAAGGAATTTCAACAGGCCAGGACAGTACTCCAGCTTCTTAATAGGTGATTTTGTGTTATTTTTTTCAAGCAAAGAAGCTCCACAATTGAACAGCTTTTTAACATAATATAGTCGAGTCAGAATGCTTTGTTTAAAGGGGGATAGCAGAAGATCTTTCATTGAAGAAAATAACTCGGAGGTGCTGTACACGCATGTTGCATTTTTGTTAGGACTAAGGGACATGGTAAGTGAAAAGCTTAGTTTCATTCAGCCTGGATCAAAAGACAAAATGCTAATAAAGATGAAGTGCAGGCTGACAGAACACTTGAGTGCATTAAGCTCATTTTAGCATTGAATTCCTGCAATTCTTGTTTTGAAACTTCTCCACTGCTATGTACCTTCTCTGCAGCAGGAAGAAAAATAATCAAGAATGGGCACATTTGTGAATTCAGTTTCTTTTTAGGACAGAATATATCTATTGCCTTATGAAGAGCAAAAATAACAATTCTAAAGGGATTTGTAACTCCTTTTCCCTTCTCAAAGGAAAGGCAGAATAAATCAGTAGGAACAAAAGAAAAAGGAATGGAAAGCGATCAGTTGATAAAGAATAAAATAGTGTTAAATGTTGCTTAATGAAATTTTCCAACCTACTAATAAATTTTGATTTGAATGTAAAATACAATGCTGTGTTTAATAATTTAGTTACGAAATAATAGCTCTGTCAGTTTAATTTATTTATTTTACCTACAACATTGCTTTATTTTATTTTATTTTATTTTGTTTCTTTGTTAGCCAGTAGAGCTGATAAGTAACAAGAGTTAATAGTAATAATAAGTAGTATTAGAAGTCTGGAAGGAGTGGTGTTAGATCCCACATACTGATCTAAACAAAAACACTACTACTGCAGGTTACACTGTTAAAACTGTAGGTCCCAAACTGTAAATCCCTATTTGGAGATTTTATTCCCACAGTTGCATGAGAGCTCACAAGGATGCTGATATGAATAAGGAATACATATGCTAAACTCCAAATTGTTTAAGCTCATCTAATGTCTGAATGTCTGTAAGGCACAGACATCAGATTTCCTCTCTTGATTATCTTGATGGTCTTAAGCTGATGCTACAGGAAAACACCAATCAAGTACATAATACGCTGGAACATGTCCATTAGAAATAAGCTACAATAATGAAAAGCAATGGTTTCTCCTTCGGCATATCACCGTGTGCACGGTATCAGCCTTCACCAACGTTGCTGACAGTAACTGTACTTTCAAGAATTAACATCATTTTACCTTTGTTGAAGATGACAATCAAATTTATACGACAAACTAGTAACACTGAAGTAAGGTTATTACCATCACCTACTCTGCTACACACTAAAATCTATTATCCTGTCTTTTACAAAGCAAAGCCAACAAACATGACATCATTTAAAAAAGAAAAAAAAAAGAAAAAAAGAAAAGAAAAAAATGATTTCAGATGAAATTCTACCTTCATGTACTTGTTTTCCAACTGACTCAGCATGAACCGTACAAGCAATCACCAACAGCACAGTGAGGAACATACCTGAGTTTTCCTCTGATTTATTTTTTTTCCGTGGTTCTTGGCAGAGGTTCTCGTCTGTGCATCTCGGACAAAATTAAAAAATTTGGTTTTTGTTTCAGAGATGGACTGTAGTAAAAGGGAAGAATAGGATACAGTGTTTCAAAGCCAGCTGCAGAAACCAAAGAAAAAAGAATTCAGCATTCCAAGTCAAACCATATCTATTTTAATATTCAGTAGGACTGGTCACAGGTTCTTATTACGTAAGGTTAACATCTTATTTATTGCATAAAACAGTACAATAAGACTTAGAGTACAGTACCACAAATCTGATAATTGAGAATGGAAAAAACACTTTATAGGAAACTCTGGGAAGTGCTGCAAACACTGATGAAGTTTAATATTCAAGCAGATATTAGTCAGTTAGAGTATTGCAAGTGAGTTTACTTCTCATGTCATTTCTCTTTAATCTTATCTAATAATAACCAGAAGTAATTGCAGTTAAATAACAGTCATTAAAATATTACATTGCAAACACAAAATAGTCTTTTATCTTTTAACACTGATACAACTCTTTATGCTTTACTGCCTGTAAAATAATTATTTGCTCTGACGAGAGATTATAAAAGCAAAGACCAAACTAAAAGCCTTTTGACTTTCACTGGATTATAAGCCCCATAATATGTGATGGTGTGAAACCATCACAGCAGACAAAATAAATGTGAATAAATGTGATGGTGTGAAACCATCACAGCAGACAAAAAGAATAACACAGATCTCTAGGTGATCAGGTAAAGCAGGACAGTTTTATCCAACAGAACCAAGAAATGGAGATAAATAGTAAACAGGTTACCTAAATCAGAATTCCTACAAGTTAAATGTCTTTAGTCTCACAAAAAGAACAACAATAACAAAGAGAGAATTCACACAGTGTTTTTTCAGTTACTGTAAAATGACTGGCATGAACATGAACAGCATTATCTCAAAGGGAATAAGTTCAATTCCATAGTACCTCCCCATATTCAGAAGACAGAATAGTACTTTCAGAACCACTGTGGTTCACATATAGCTTCCAAACACTGAGCAGACTGCAGCTTTCTTGGGTCTCAGACTGAGAGGCTGAGCACTTGTCACTCCATGTCTTCAAAATGAACTGATCTTCATGAGATTTCATGAAATAATAATTTGAGATGATATGGCTACAACGAACGTGCTCTCTCTTGCAAATTATGTATTGCAGTTTATCTTGGGAAAACTAGAGCGTTAACTGTCACCAATTTTATTTTATAAGTATGGTTATTCAGATCATTTTGAGTAATTTGAAGTCTAACGTCTGTTTCCAGATCCTGCAAGACGGCAAGACATGCTGTTAAATCATTTATGTTTTAATCTGCAGTTAACTCAATTACAACAACAACCTACACCCCACCTCACACCAATTTTTTTAAAGACCCTAAAGTTTACTTCAGGTTTTGTTTGCATTTCAAAGCTAATTTGTTTTCCCACTTCAGGAACCTGCTGCCTATTCTTTTAGGTTTAAGGCTTTTTTTTCCTCAGATATTTATTTTTCCCAAGGTTAAAACTTTTACTTCTGCTAGCCATATATCTTGTAAACATCTTTCAAAGGATTGGCAATAGAAACTGATGAAATAAGTATCAACAGAGTTTTTAAAAAGTCTGATGTATTTCATTCCAGAATGCCCCCCCCTCCTTTTTTTTTAAAAACGGATATGCAAAGCAATCATGGGTATAGGGTATTTACAAACATTCAAAATATACTTGCTGCTCCTTTCCATAATTCTGGACAGCTGCATTGGTGAACCAAAAAAATCCATAAACTAGCACTAAAATTAAATTTTACATTGGAAAAATCCAATTGCTACTCGTGTGTTTTTGTCTTACCACCACTAAAAGTCTCATTTCTATTATATTTACCGTTAGCTGCTATTTCAGAGTTTCTATAATATTGCAAAGTATTGCAAAGTCATGAAGTAATTGATTAGTTTGCTTACAAAAATGTTGATAGTCTGCGGGTTCATTTGTCATTCTTCCTCTGCTTTTTTTCCTGGCAGCTTTGGAGGCTTTCCAATTCATTAGGAACTGTCTTTCCATTTCTTTAATTTCCTTCCCATCAAGGAATTCTGTCAAAGGGAAGAGAATATTTTCTGTGATACCAGAGGTTAACTAAAAGGCTGAACACAACTGTATGCAATTTGTATTTGCTCTCTTCAAATCTTTTTGCTCTTTTTAGTCTTTTGGTAAAAAATAATAATAATAAAAAAATATCCAGTGATACATTACAGCTTGGTACTCACATTTAAATTAGCTGCAAGAGGGAGTTGACATGTCTTAACTACAAAAGAAATGACCTATTATTTTTATAGCTTTCAAGGGAAATATACATATTTATATTCAGTGAAGTTCTGAAGAAACAGAACTTATATCTTACACAAGATATATCCAGAAATTCAGGATACGAGCAAGCCTGTGTAGCTTGGTAATGAAGGAATCCTACTGATCATGAAGACAGACAGATTTGTCTCTTTAAGATTAACTTTACTCACTTTGATGCCATGAGGCTTATGTTCTACATTTCCTCAGTCGCATCTGCATTTTTGAGTCAGACCAAAATAAATACCTCATTTGGACACAGATCTAGATTGCATTAGTACTCTCTAAGACCCTGTTATTTTTATTGTGTAGATTGTTTTTTCCTTTCTATTAATAGTCAATGCTTTGTACTCTCAGAAAAAAGAAAAACAAATTCTGTAATTACTACTTAAAAGGTGCCCCCTCTATCCAAAAAAGTAAAAAGTGAGCATGTATTTTTTGACTTTTTTCTACAGTATGAGTACTTGCATACTGAATACTAAGTTGCTTCCTTTTACTGCTCAAATTGTCTGCATCACAGATAATAAGCTGCATCAAATAAACTACATCACAGGAAGGTTAAGACACATCTGAAACATAAGTGTTAAAAGGCTGTTACGATGAAGGACAAATGTTATATAGCAGGAATTCGACCGCAGTAAGGTATGAACTGAACAACTGTCACTGTACAACTAGAACACCTACGCAACTCCTATGGGCTGATAGAGGGGCAGACTAAAACTATCTTTGAAAAATCAGTTTCACATCTGGAATATGAACACACAAAAAAAATCGTACTGTTTTATAACAGCCTCACTAATCACCTATTACTAAAACTAATGTTTACTATGACTACAAGCAAAAGCTGAGTAATAAACTTTGTGCAGTTGATGACACGAAGACTTTTAGCTGCATTACTTGTACGTAAAGTAAAAATTTATCATTTGACATAAATATGTATGACAGTAATTGTGTTTACAGACACAGTGCAATTCAAGAATGGATAATGGGTCAGTTATTTTATAAAAGAGTACAGGTTATGAGTGGGGTTTGGGGTTGGCTACTGGTTTTATTTTTTACCTAAAGTTTGAGACTGTACAACAATCCTGTCCCTGTACTTCGGTTTGTGGCAGATGGGGTTTCCTGCAAGATCCATCCTGTGTAGCTTTGGCCATTTGTTTAATACAGCCTCCAAATCCTGCAATTAATACAAGAACAGAACGCTGCGATTATTTTTCCCTCTCCAGCATAGAATTCAATAGTAACGTGATTTGTTCAGTCAGGCCCAAATCCTGCACACAGAAGTAACTTCAGTGAGACTATTCACGTACTTTAATTAAGAATGTGCATTTTCAAATAGAGTGGCGTATAGCATTCCCTCAATATATCACAATTGCACAGAAGAAACAGTGATGCAGTTGAAAAACTCTTTCCTTTTAAGGATACAGTAATACCAGCTATGGAAAATTACTACTGCAGTCCCACCTGTAAGCACCTAAAACAGAAGAATCACCACCTGAAAGCCTGTATGATATATAACGTCTCTTAATGCATCCCCATGGGCTCACAGAGCCCTCAGAGTATCACAGCAACCAACTAGATTTTGAAAAATTTGCGGAAGAATAAATATTTTACAAAGAATGGTGTATATAAAAAACCATAAGCTAAGGTAGATTGCATCTCTATTTACACATATGAAAAATTGTATTTTACAGAAGGAATGGTAACCCCCAGCCTACAGTAACTGTGGGTGGTCAGTTATAGCATTGGCCCAAATAGTGAAATTTTTGAAATATACCTTTCTCCATCTGGGTTTCTGTCTGGTTACCCAAGGGCAGTATGACCCAGATAAAACTTCCTCTGCCTTTTAAGCACAATAAATTCAAGCTAAAAGGATGCAAAGCTTAGCAGATTGGTCCTTTCTACTCAGATACCCTACCTTCTGAAATAGATTATTTTCAAAATTTCACTTCATTGTTATTCTTGTTATGCTTCCTTATATGTGTGAAAAGCTTAAGCAAGGATTCAAAACAATCTGCATGAATGCAAGGGAAGAGACTATTTATTTATGTTGTACAGTTATAATAATTTGAAAATATAAATCTATTGATCATGATCTGATAGATTCTAACTTGTGAAGTCTACAGAACTTTGTAGCTTGACACCAACAATTATATTTATACCAATGTAGATATCTCTTAGCTCCTTCAAATCTAGGAAATCATGTGGGTAATGTGAGCATGGAGAATTATGGTTTTAGGCTAGGCCATTAAAAACAGAATAAGATTTTGCAATTGTATTTATTTATTCTTACCTGGCCATTCAAGCATTGTTTTTGAAATCTCTAACACGTTCTGGAGTTCACTAGAAATATATTTTTTCAAGTAATAGTTTTGGAATACAAAATTGTCTACTACTGAAATAAAATGTATACAGTTTAACTTTGATGAATGCATACAAAGAGTCCTGTAGATTTTTGTTAGCTGTTACTTACTTGATAAATGACCCAGAACATGCTTACTCCAGTGTATGTTTATCTAAGAGCACACTTAATCCTTTGCTGAAATATGATTACCCTTTCGATACGCTCTAGTTGTTCATTGCCTTCCTGTCTCTAATAAAGTGCTTTCACTTCCCAGCCTTTCAATAAGCTGTACTAAAGGGACCAGACACTCTTCTGGGCAGTCTCCGTTTGATAAATGATCATGTCATGCTATCACTTTGAGGTCTGCTACAAAATACCGACGAGCAAATTATATTCCATCTATGGGGGGGAGAGGGGGAAGGGCAAGTGCCTTAGCAGGCAGCTGGGGTGCTGGCAATAATGTTCCTACCAATTAATGATGGCCGTTTACGAATTGGTGTTTGACCAGGATGCTCCAGTTTTTATCGGAAAAGTCTACTCCAACTGCCCTAACTACATCTACAGACAGCAATTTGTCACCAGTTTGACTGCCTGTCATAATCTGTTTGAGAAAATCTATACTTTCTCTCTTGTTCCTGACTCAATTCTGAAGTGAACGAATTCATCTTTTGTGATATCCTCTTGTCATAATCAATACCGGGCAGAGGTTGAATAAATTAAAGACTTAGGAAATACAGATTTTCATAGGTATTTCTAGCTATATTTTCACTATGTATCTATCTATCCATCCATCCATCCGAACACTCACATAAGTAATAATCTTCCCAAACCTAACGTGTAGTATGTATGTACACACATATACATACACTCTGGCCTTCTGTAAACAGGAATAGTTTATTAGGAATAGCTTTGAAAAAAAAAAATTCCCCTTAATATTCCTACCTAAATATACAAAGGCCTAGAAGTCCTCATGAAACTAACTGAAGTAAACAAGAAGCTCAGGGAGATAAAATAATTGCAGTAGCAAGCAACAGAAAACAAAGAAAAGCCAATTCTATTAAAATTGATTATATTCTTGATAACTGGCATAACATTTTTTTAACTTGTGGTAGCTAGTCACAGTAAGTTATTTTGTATGAAGTGGGGAAAATTACTTAATTTCTGTTCTGTCTACTGTTCAGACTACATTATATAAACTTCAGTCATGTGAAACAAGGTCATACGCCTTGATGTCTGTTAATTATGCTAACAATTCCCTGAATTAGCCAGAACCTGAAGTGCATGAATTTACTAGCCCTAATTTTCTACTATGCTGAAATCAGCATAGCATCACTGAAAATGGAGGGAGTATGTTTTTGATTTTTTTTTAATAAAGATGTGAACAAAATGAGATAAATGTTTAAATATAAAGTTAAAATGCTAATTATACAGAAGTGAAGAAAAGTCCAAATGAGGAAAAGTGTTTCATGCATTTGTCAGGGTTTCAAATTTCCCTCTTTTGCACAGATTCCATTTTATTCCTGCATGCCATCTACGTCTGCTACACAGATCACTGCTGTGAGCAGCCCTGCTCTGGGTGGCTCCGCTACAGCTTCCTTCCTGCTGGGTGCAGCAGAGCTGCAGACAGACTTGCCACTGCTCCTCTGTTTTGTGGTACCACTGTGGTCTCGATGCCAAAAATTCCTGGGGATGTTCTTGATGGCAGTGATGGGATAGTGGGGATAGGAAAACAGGGGATTTAGAGCCTTTGGCATGCAGAGGAGGTGTATTTCGGAGTTTTGAAAACACAGGAGCAAGAGAGAGGGGTATGTAGGCAGATTGTGTGGGAATGAAAGAGCCTTTGCTGCAAGCAACAAGCTCAGCCTGTACAAGCTACTAAGTGCGTGTAGTACAATTGTGTAGTCACTTTTTTTTTCTTCCAACTATCACAGTTGTAGATTAATGTAAGCCAAGGAATCATGAAATTCAGGAGTGCAAAAAAAAATGAAACATACTCAAAACTTCTCTCAACTATTTTTTTACAGTTAGTGAATGTATAAGAGCATTCTCCTGGTAGCTGTTCAGTATAAGTTAAAGCATTTAACCAGAGAGAAAATTGGCATTAAAAACAAACCAAAAAAAAAAAACTTTGCATGGCCTACTGCTTATTCAATGCTTTTTTAATTTAAATAAGAATTTATATGTGTAATAACTAGACATACTAGTACATAATCTCTGAAACAGTAAATGTAGCTGGATATCCAGCTGCGTTACCCTGTATGTTTGTCACATTTAATACGGTCATTAATTTTAAAGGTCTCAAAGAACATGAATAGAAATACTCTACCTGCTCCATATTTTCAAAGTTTGGAGATTGTTTATAGAAAACATAGGACAATCACTTTCAAAATTTATCACAGCTTGATCCAAGTGTAACTGATAGCAGGAGCAGCAATTAACTCAAATGCTAACTACGTAATTTTCCAAAAGCTGTGACCTTATAACACGGAAATTTAATGTCTAATTGATTTGGATAAATATTAATTCTTGCCTATCTGATGATAGAATAATGAAATGCAATAATTAAGTAAATACCATACACACAGTTACTGAATAATGCAGTCTTTTTATACACTTATTCTGTTTCAGAAGATACTGTTTTTTCCCTCTGAGACACTGAAAATGCTGTCTTTAAACTGGCAACCTCATTCTTAGTAACAATCACTTGTTTGGCTATGACAATCTTCTTTAAGATCATCACAACTCAAGTCTCTTGTACTTAAACAAGGAAGAAACAATTAAAGCCACTGTACTAAGCTTTCATTTGGATAGACTCATTTTTGAGAGGAGTCCTTTTTGAAAGACTACCTATTTTAAAAAGCTTTCAGTTATTTTGATGTAGCCAACACATTCAATATGGTTTTAATTATCTAGCATAAGCCTACATGAATTGTACTTCTATATGAATTCAGTCACAACCACCAGCCAGAGACACAGCTTGAAATACAAGACATTAATAATGCTCTACTAAGAAAAAAAAGAATGCATCATTCAACATTTTTGAATAATAAAATATAAAAAATAAGGGTCCAAATAAAGTCTATTGACTTTATTTGCTAAATTATGCACTAGAGCACTAAAATCTCCTCACTAGCAAACAGAACTGCCAAATTCAATATATAAGGCATTATGTGTTCTAAGAAGTCGTAACCATACTTGTTTTAATGATTACTAACCAATAAAAGTTAACTTTTTCTAAAGAAACAGAACATACTCAGTTGATAGATGCATGCACAACTGCTCGTTGCATAGGATTACAGGACATTCGGCCATCCTAGATAAATGGTTCTCTATTTTTAATCTCAATGAGATATTTGGATGAGAGAAGCATACTCGGAAAGTCAGAGGTTCAGTAACTGTAGAATTAAAGTTTATTTTTACTCATCTATATTGTGATAAAGATGAGTTTGACTATTGTTTTAATCATCCATACTAAATAGTACAAATATTGATTTTAGTACCTTCATATGTTGAAGTTGATTGTCAACTGCTCTAAGATAAGAAAGATTTTCCAGAACTGCCAGCTCTTCTAATTCATCAATGTTGTTATTGCTGATATTCAACACAGACAAGGATTTCTGGAGGAAAAAAAATAAAGCAGAAATTTTTTTCATGCCATGCATGACTCAATTGTAAATTTTTACAGAAAGTTGTCTTAACAAGCAAGTGAATGAAGCAAAAATACATAAATGCAACTACCTCATACACATTGTTTTCTGTTGACTTTGCATCTTGTCTTAAAATGCTGCTCATTTTGATTTTGAAGTCAACCCAAACTGAGATTATTTCTCTTTATTTATTATTTCTACTACTTCAGGAATTCTTAACAAATGCAGATTTTTTTTTTTTCCTAAACACGTTCAAATGCTTTACAGAGTTTTGCAAGTGTTGCTAACTTTATGTTTGAAGTAGGTAATAGACACAGAAATTGACTGTTTTTTTCCATGGCTACATCTGAACCACCTAGAACTCAAAGCCATATCTGATACCCATGTAGTCTCATTTAACAGCTGGACTATCCTGTTACTCATTCAGGCTTGATACTGCCAACCTTCGCTGTATACATCTCTCTATTCTTTGCCCCTTCTTTGGAACAGTAGTGAGTCACATAATGCACTTTGCCTTTCCTAACAGGCAATAGTTGCAGAGATCTTTACATTCTAGATAAGAAGTAAATGTGTTTCAGGTATTTATCTCAGGAAATACCTAATGTAGTTTCACATAAAAGCAACAAGAAGCTTGTATCTCTAGAAGATGAAAAAGAGCACCTAATCCAGTGAGTTTAGAATTATACCAGATATAGTACTTACTGTTGGTTAGAAAATGTCTGTTTCAGCAGTATATATCCGGAAACATAACCCTCTTCTAAAATCTGAGCTACGAACAAGATCTGCCCTTCAGACAATATCATCCTGATATACATAGTGTAACGAGTTCCTCAGACAAATGATTCAGGATATTAGCAAAACATTTGTTCATAGTACACTGAGAACTATATGCCCCTATGTTTCTGGCCCAAAACAGGAGAAGATGACAAAGTAAGAAGTGATGTCTTAAAAAGGGACAAACTGCTTAGCATCTACAGGGTTAAAATAGAATGCTTTCACATGTAGCTTTTAAAAAGGTGTTACATGGTCAAGGATGAAAAGTGTTTCTCAAAACAAAACAAAAACAAAACAACACTCCTCCTTCCCCCAAACTTAAAAGCTAGGAAGAACAAAATGCTGGTGAGTCTATGCCAGGATGCTGCAAAACACTGAAGTGTATGAGTTACCATGCTGGGAAAATTGCAGCTGTATAATCTCTCTCCTTTCATCATCTCTCCAGTATAGAGGGAACAAAATAAAAGTGCTGTCACAGGAATGGCCCATTTCTCTTAAAGGAAAATAGCAATACATGTCTTGGATTAATTCTTTTCAAACCAGCATGAATTACAGCTAGGTAAAATGTTTATGATATACACATGAAAAGAAGTCACTTCTCAGTGAGTATTCTTTGTTCATCTTCACAAAACAGATCATCAAGCTCTGACTGCATTGGGAGATGCAGCAAGATGATTTTTATTGGTGTATAAAACTACAAACATTAGTAAATAAAGTCTTTTTTTTTTTTTACTTCAACAATACATTTGATGTTTACTGAGCAATTTTAATTAAAAATATTAGCATGTTGATTAAAACTGACTTTCCTGAAATCTTCGCACACTACAACATAGAAAAACAGCAAAACTAGAACTGAATGCTTCAGACTGTGCTCTCAACATCCCCCCAAAAGCTGTTTGCACCCTTTTTTGCCATTGCATTCTCTAGAGAAATTAAAAAGGTGGTGAATAAATTAATGTGGCAATCAAATCAGAGAAGCATCAATAAACTAATTAATTACAAACTAAGTAGACTAAAATAATTTATTCTGTTAAATTCCTAGCCCTTTTTTTGTTTATTCATATTTTGTTGGGGGTAGTGCATCCATACATTTCCTTACTTCCTCTTTATTCCATCCTTCATAGAAAAATAAATGAAGTTGTTAGAATCTGCTGGACTCCCTGCTCATATTACAACTGGGATGGGAGTCCCTTGGTAGAATTTTTAAGGCTGCTACCAATTAGCAGGAAAAGAATACACGCAATGATCAAGTCCTAATTACTTCTCCTAAAAATACTACCTATTGATTAACAGCCCATTGAAAACCTCAAAATGTACTTACTGCCAAGGACCTAAGAGATCTTGGATCAAAGAGAAGCTTTTCACCAAGGGGGAGATGTTGACTTTCAATATGCAGCTCCCTTATCTCTTCTAATTTATCCAAGCCCTCTACTACAGTGATGTAGTTACCCCCCAAATACCTGAAAAAAATAGAACCCAAAATAGATTTAACATCATTTGAATGTAAAAGTGAACACAAGTCTTCAAAGTACTTAAAAATAAGCACAACATGCAAGTAGATCATACAGCTGACAAATCAAGGTCTGTTTTAGAAATTTTGTGTATTGATTCTATTATTATTAAATAGCTGAGAAAAGGAAAACAGTTTAAATGTCAGTAAGTATGTTAAGATATGTTATTACTTCACTCATTATATCACAAACACTTCATTAAAAATTATTTGAAATGTGAAATTTAACGATTTAAGGGACATTAAAGGCTACATAATATTTGAAATTCTTAGTCTAATAACTGTCCTTTTACCAGTAAAATACATGATTTTCAACTTACAGTTTTTCAAGGTTTTTCAGTGATGAGAGATTTTCTATACATGAAATACAATTGTTTTGAAGGTAAAGGTGTGTTATATTTGAAGCAAAGCCCAAGTTCTGGATTTGACTGATTCGGTTATCGTATAAATACAGAACTCTAAGATTTCTACACAAAGAGATATCACCCTGAAATTAAAACACAAAACAAAACAACAAATTAGTGCTATAAAAAGTGTACTCACTACCTGCTTCTGGAAGCTGTTGATTGTTTTTATGTTGAAGTTCCACTGCATTATTTATACATTTTCATCTTTAACAAACACTTTAAACAATAGTTATCCTAGAAAGAATGACTTAGAGTCAATAATAATCTCTGGCATAGATTTATGACAGAAATCTGTCATTACAGTTCTGCTGTGCATAAGCTGAGGCTTACAGCTGAGGATCAGCAGGTAGATCACATTCTGTGTAACTTCATTCCCTTCACTGCCTTCATCTGAATGATTTCAGAAAAGCCCAATTGTTAGTGGAATCGTTTCCATCAAACCTCAGTGATGTAACGAAAACCATTTCTTGGCAAAGGAAAAATGATTCCTACAAAAACTTTCATATCAATGTACTTTCATATATTTCTGATAATAAGATTTCACTCAAATGTCAAGTTTCTTTCTAAGTATCCTTCTTAAATAACCAAAAAATAGCATGTTTTTATAAGGGTTTCTCTAAAACTTCTCTATGGCATCTGATGAACTAGTACTAATCGAATAGACTGATCAAATTAACAACTCACTATGCCAAGGAGCGAGCTGAATAAAAACATTTGCTTGCGTGGGTGTGTTCCCATGGAACAAGGTATGTAAATCTTGACTGAAATCACACTTTTGTCTTTTAAACAGAAAACCATTACACACAACAATTCAGTTTTTTGGCGCTCAGTAATTTCAAAATGTGCTCGGTATCTTCTTGAGGGAATTTGAATTAACTCGGGACTTACTGAAACCTTATAAATTTCACACTGTTAAGCTCAGAAGGTGGACTGGGTTAAATCTGCAGGCTTAGTCTTTGAAAATAAAAAAGGTCATGGATTATTTTGTAAATGAGTAAGCTCCAGGGAGCAATTAAAAAATGTAGATTTTAACTTCTCTGATTTGAAAAAGCCATTACACCAGTCCAAATCCGTTAACCTCACTTGGTTTATATCCTGTTCCTGCACTCGCCTTTCCTTTTTCAGACTTCCCCTGAAATCTCAGGAATAAACCTGACAGATTGAAAATATTTTGCTGCAAATTAATAACTCTTTGTAAAATTACCAAGAATGGAAAAAAATATGGCATTAGAGAAAATAAGCATTGCACTTAATAGAATGTAATATTATTATTACATCCTCAAAAAAAAAAAATTGATCTGCAAAATTACTATTTCCTTACATCTCCCTTTATTTCACACTCTATATGTTTTTTTTTATAAATGTAAGCATCAATAAATACAAATCTTTAAATCAAAAAATAAACTGTTCCTGATAATCTTTATTTCTTTATTTATTTTTATTTTTAAGCTCATCCCTAAAGTCTCCAAAAGCACTACAGCTAGATTTCAATGTGGCTAGAGCACTGCCTTCAAAGTCCTACACCTACTGATTCAGTGGCAACAACCTGGCTGTGTTCAGTGGCTAAAGAGGTAAGTAAGCAGAGTTATTATTTGTATACTGGTGGTTTCCTGAAAGGCCCTTTACAATGCAACAACTGTATAAAATAATAAAAATAGCAAATCGTTTACATTTTTAGAGCTGCAAATTTCGATAATAGTTCTGTGAATGACTGCAATAACATTTCACTTTAACACTTCAGTTCACCTCTTTCTTGTATCGTTGCTTACATGGATTTTCTGGTTTTTAATGAAAGGCAAAAAAATAATGCACTGATAATATCTTTCTTGTCTGCCACATAGTTGAATATATTTCTACAGCTTCTGGTAAGTAAAATATTTCAACAAGATTTTTGCAACAGAAATAAAAAAGTGTCAGGTCAAGAAATAATTTATTATTAATGAGTAATAATACTGTTGGAGTTATAGTCACTTGCTTTGATGTTTTACATAAAAATTTACAGCTAAAAAATTGTTTATGTGTTTCAGATGCATCTGCATTTAAAATTATACACTTTTAGGTTCAAGCAGTTTTTTACAAAATAACATCACTTTAAGCAGTGTATGGTGAGGCATGTTTCTACACAAATAGGCTTAACTGCAAATAAATATAAATTTTAAAAAACATGTAACTGCTGCAAAATATAAACTCTGTTTGCTAGTCTTCACAACTACAAGCAACTCATCAGAAGAGTAACAACAAAACATTTGAATAGACAGGTTAAAAAGAATAAAGTGAATAAATCTTACAATTGCATCTATATTTTTATCTGATAAATTCAGATGAGTCATTTTTCGCAGGTACTGTCCGAAGTCCTCTTCTTTGCGATTCTTGTGACTGACGTTTTTTGCAATTAAGTCTGTTGTTAATTGAACCATAATTCTGTAATAGGCCAAACTGCTCTACCTCTTTTAATATCACTAAGTGTATTCCATGTGCTCTTCCACGTAGATTTATAAAATGCCTTAAAAACAAAAGCAAAATGTTATACTACTTGCTCCCCAGGTCCTAAGCAAAGCTGATGTATATCCTTCAAGTCTGACATTTCCCAATTCTTTTTGCTTACCATGACACATCTGTGTAGTGTTTGCTGCTTATAAAAACCTCACCTGTATTGCTGCATTTTTTTTTTCCAAACTTTTAGTGTATTCAATAGCATTTAAATGCATCACTGTGATTTTTGTTGCTTCAATGTTGTACCTTATTCTTTGTCTTTTTCATGTGGAAACCTGAGCACAGTGATCCAGGGAAGTAATTCTCCTACATAACTAATTAATGGCAGCTGGTGAGCTGATAACTAGATAAAATCCACAGAGCTGCTTATGGCAGGTTTTACAGGGCTGTGACAACTTGGAGGAGTGGGGTTGGGGAGGGAAGGCAAGACACGCGTTTTGAGCTGGCTGTGTAAAGTCTGAGGATGAAAACACCACAGGGAAGGGAATTTGACCTGGCAGTACAAACAGGCTGTTTTTTTTTTTTTTTTGGCCAGTGCGTGATATAGCCCACCCCCCGCCATCAGTGCTACCAAAACAGCTGAGGAGGGAGCAAAAAGCACCCAAACACTCATCTCATGCAGCCACATAAACCAAGGCACGGAGAACCCACCTTATCAGGATTACATTGAGGAGAAACTGAGGAAAAGCGAAGATTAAAACCGTAAAGCCGGAAGAAACTTCCCTCCTCCCTCAGCAAGGCTGAAGCTCAGCAGCCGCCCCCCCCCCCCCCCCGATCCACGCGCAAAACAGATACTTATATTTTCTTATATAAAGGTGGGGAGAGCAGAAAGGACATAATTTTGTTTTATTGAGGAGTGCACTTGTTTTTTATCACGAAAATACCTCCCGGAGCCGTTCCGTAGACGGGCTCCCAGCAGCAGCGGGGGTGGTCGCTCTGTGAGGGCTCGGGCCGGTTGCCACAGCAACGCAACGCCAACAGCGTAAAGTGGGGGGGCCGCTCCCGCCGCCCGCCCTCGCCACCCAATCAGCGGCGCGGAGGGCGGGGAGCGCGGCCTGCGCAGCCGCCGGGGCACTGACGCTGTTTGCGTAACGGCTGTGGGCAGCGGGGCTGAGGGGAGTAATGGGGGGGGGGGTCCCGGTTCTGTCAGCGGGGTCCCAGTGGCCAGGAGATTGTCAATAGGACAAAGTGGAAGCCCTGAAACCCGTTAAAATAAATGAACGTTAAACAGTATCGCTGCAAAGAGCCCGTTGCCTCACTAGCTTTTTAATAAGACTGCGGGCACTTAGGTTTTGGTTAGCTACAGGTTTTCCATCTGGTGTTGCCCCTTCTTGCTCTTTGTCAGCCGCTTCTTGCGCACACAGATTCCTGGCAACAGCAAAGCTAAACTTGAGGGTTTTTTTCCCCACCATGCGTAAATGTGATAGACTGAATACCATACTTTGCATAATCATTTGATTAGAAAAAGGTTGGGTAATGTTTAATATTACACTTTTCCAATGAAGAAACACATTTTTTTAAACGTACCAACCTTTTTGGTGACTATTTTAATGAATTAGTTACTTGCCGATGACACAAAATCTGGTACGCGATGCACTAGAAGGCTGTACTGCCATCCATGGCAGCCTCGACAGGAACCTCGTGAAGTGCAACAAGCGTAAAGTTCAGGCATCAGCACATGCAGAGGCTTTACACAAAAGGCCCTGGATGTTCTGGTGTGCACCAAGTTGAACACGAAACAGCAGTGATGTGCCCTTGCCCCAAAGAAGGCTAAGGGTATTCTGGGCTGTGTTAGTGTTGCCAGCAGGTGGAGGGAGGGGATCCTTCCCCTGTTCAGTAGAGCCCAGTGACAGGACAAGAGGCAATGGGCACAAACTGGAACATGGGAAGTTCCTTCTGAACATCAGAAAACGTTTTTTCACCATGGGGGTGACAAAGCACTGGCACAGGTTGCCCACAGAGGTTGTGGTGTCTCCCTCCTTGGAGATCTTGGAGGTCATGGTCCTGGGCCCTGCTGAGCAGCGGTGTTGGACCAGATGGCCTCCAGAGGCCCCTTCCAATCTTACCCTGTCAGTGATTCTACAAAACAAGCACATAAATAACTCACTGTAAGTCAAAAAAATGTATACAAGTTGTGCAGCTGTTGGATTGGAACATAAAAGTGCATCAGTTGAAGTCAGTGGCAAAATCTATTGCTTCCAGTGCAACAAAGACTAGGACTTTATTTCTCTTACATGTTGTAAAGAGCAAGCGTGTTTTACTTTGACCTTTGTTAGAAATGCAGACAAGGTATAGAGTCCTGTCCTTCCAACCTGGAATTTCCTATATCCTTCTTTCAGAGGACACGAAAGATCACAAAATGCCCTTATTTCAGCAGTGGAATCCAAACCGAGCATGCCCTGGAGCTGCTTGTTCTGGGAAATGTTTCTGTTAAAAAAGTAATATTATGAAAGTTAATTTTGGACTTAGTCTGGTCTCCCTCATAGCTGTAGATTTTGCAGGTGTCTAGGACTGTCTGCTAGTAATTTGATTTAAATGCAGACAAAGCTATGAGAAGTTTCGGAGAATATTTATTCATTAAGATCTGAAGTAGGATTCTCATCTAGTGGCATGGAGTATTAAACAATCATCTGTGTACTCTCCAGTATGGCAGTAATTTGGCCGAGTACAAGAAGTCCTTGTCTTCAAAACAGCTTTTGGAAATACCTGTATAAAATCATAGATGGCTGTAATTCTCACAATTCTGGATTGGAACATTGAACTGAAATTTATTTCTGTGGACATAAAACACCTTAAGAGTCTTCTTTGGATAAACCCAACCCAATTCCCTGTGCTGGGCAAGTTTGAGAAGCACTAGTTTTGAGCTCTTTCCCCGCAGTGCCTTCTTCTTAGCATCCTTCCACTGGAGGTTACATGATCTTCATTGGGTAGTTGTCATTAATTTATTTTACTCCTTTCATGATCTAATGTCTGTTTGGGATTGGGTAACAATTTTGTTCATACTGACTGCTGATATCAACAGAACTGTGTGAACCTAAGCAAAACCTAAGCTAAGAGAGAAAATTTCTGAAGTCACTGAAAGTGACTTCTCCTAGTGAAGACAGGTTGAGGTAGTTGGGGTTGCTCAGCCTGGAGAAGAGAAGGCTCTGGAAAGACCTTACAGCAGCCTTCTAGTACCTACAGGAAAGCTGGGGAGGGACTCTCTGTCAGGGGGTGTAGTGACAGGACAAGGAGGAATAACTTTAAACTGAAAGAGGGGAGGTTTAGATGAGATGTTAGGAGGAAATTCTTCACTCAGAGGGTGGTGAGGCACTGGCACAGCATGCCCAAATAAGCTGTGGATGCCCCATCCCTGGAGGTGTTCAAGGCCAGGCTGGATGGGGCTTTAAGGAGCCTGGTCTGGTGAGAGGTGTCCCTGCCCATGGCAGGGGGTTGAAATTGGGTGATCTTTAAGGTCCCTTCCAACCCAAACCATTTTATGTTTCTATGAAATGAAACAGATTGCTGTTACAAAAGTTTCTGAAATGATTCCTGCAAATACAACTAAAATAAAATTAAAAGAGGTCCAACACCAGCATTAAAATATATTAGAGCCTGGAAGTAAAAATGAAGTTGTTAGAAAACTATCTTTGTTATAAGCATCTTTATGATGCTTACTGTGCGTCTTTATAAACACTGTATCTTACCTCCAGTAGAGACTACAATGTTGATTTGGGAAATGCAAGATTCAGTCTCCAAACATGAGCAAAATAAATGAAAATGCCCTTTTAGTTTTCCACCATAGAGAAAATAGCCATTAATTGTGCTGTCAATTTAGCACCAGACAGAGCTGCAGAAGATAACAGATTTCCAAATATTGTTATGAAGTTTGATAGATAAATTAAGAAAAGAAAGTAAAACTTACTATATGCTGCTAATATTCAGAACAGTCAGAAGATGTACTGGTATCTCAGCATTATTTTGTCAAACACTGTAAAGCAAGTGAACGTGAGTATTCACACAGTCATTCTTCTTTGTTCTTAAAGAGATGTAAGATGTTATCTACATGTTACTTGTTCCTGGCTTTTATATAAATATTTAGTGTTAAACCATGTTGGCCGCTTTGAGATTTTTACCTAATTGTCATAGGATTTTTTAAAAAAGAAAAGGTAGGTGTTCCACCAAAAAAAACAAACCAACAAAAGTAGTATAATGAGGAGCTGGTTTGGTGTTTGTATCACAATACAAAATGCACAAATCTCACTTAAGTTGAGGGAATATCTGCCGATTTAGTACCTCCACATTTCTCCAATTATATCTCCAGTTTTGTGGGACTCAGACTGACAATATCTTCCTTAGGAACAGGTTAAAAATACAAGCTTCATTCTAACCTCCAGTGATGTGTAAGTGAATGCAACTTGCCTCTAGCTGGAGAAAAAAATTCAGATGGTTGTAATTACCAAAGATTGCATGCCATTAGATGCAGGCACATAAATTAATTTCAGTTTTTAATAAAGTAATGCCACGGCAGCTATACACAAGCCCTAAGGTAACTGTGTCTAAAGCAAACAGAGAAATTCACACAGGAAATGATGGACAAATTGCATAGGAGTTGAATGCATGTTTCAGCTGAAAATTAAGAGTTCCTAAAACAATATATTTATAATCCTCTCAAAGGGCTTAAGCACTTCCTATCCAAGATAATCTAAACAGACAAACTACGCAAAATAGAATAAACATTCTTTGATAACAGTATTTTTGAGAATTGAGGTGGTTAATATCAGGCAAACTGGAGATGTAGCGATGTTCTTTAGTACATAAAATAATAATACTTGCACATCCTTGTTCATCTGTATTTTTAAAAGGCTAACGATCAGTCTCATTTCATGGAGAGGAAAACAGACACTTGCTCTTGCAAAAACGCTTTGCTAAAGTTTATGCAATCCTAGTTTGTGAGAAGTCAGGAAGAAAACCCAATTCTCCTGAGATGGAGTCCTGTGACCTATCCAGTGGACCATGCTACTTCCCAGAATACTGTAGTTTTCAGAAAGCCCTGTATGAAGCAATTTTTCATAATTAAAAACAAACCAAACGTCACAGCAAATATTTCATATGTTAGAAGTTTCATCTGAAGGTCAACATTAACGTTCCTAAATTACATATTTCCTTATGGATATTATTCCTAGGCTCTGAAAAGTAAAACTACAGCTCATAAAAAATACACCCTGAGGAACAAGTTACTTCATTAATTCCTTAAAGGTTTAGCATAATTGTTTTTAACTCCAGAAAAATCCTTCAACCAACTGGAGGCTCTCTGATGTCTGCTCTTGAAGACTTGACACAAGCTGAAAAAAAAATCCTACATGCATGCAATTAATCTTATATATTATCACTACATATTTTAGCAATTTTCACCTCCTAGGGACCTGCACCCTTACAACAATGCTAGCTCAACTCTTTAGTATTGAAATTTTGCCTACTTCTGGATTCTTGAAAGCATTTGCTTTTATCGTTTTATCTTAACCTAGTTTTACAAAATCT